CGGTTTCATGGGATGCGTATCACTGATAGTTCAGATTTTTAACAACTAAAATGTTGCTATACATTAGTCTGCGTGAAATTAAAGTCTAGAATATTCTCTCCTCATGGATCTCAATCTCTTCGACACCTTGGATAATTAAAAAAAAAAATTAAAACGATTTGTGAATACATTTTAGTTATTCCTGACTGTTATAGTGATAATGGAGTTCTTGCACAGGTCTGGCAATACTTGTAAATTACCCTCTTAACAAGGCATAAATATGCTTTTCGACTACCGTGAAACCCATATTTGAGGCCCCTTCAATATTAAGGAAACGAATAGCAACTCACTTATGCTGCAGGTTTCCAGACCTGCCAGACATTAGAATCAACGCCGCAAAGAACTAGCGACCGTTACCCGTCTCAATATTCTTCTGCAGCAAGCAACCTATTAGTAATGAGTTCACATAAACCGACATGTTGGGATACAGACAAAATAAAGTTCCTCTTGGAACTGGGAACGACTGTTTTGTGGGATCTAAGAGTTTCTTATTTAAAGGACAACAAAAAAAAAAATCTTCACCACGGAGAAATTGTCCGTTCTTCTTGGAATGAATTAAACTTCAAAGCCCTTATTTTGAAAACAACAAAAAAAAAAAAATATTTTTAATTTTCACTTGAATAAAACGGCTAAAAAGTTTTTGTTGAATTATTTGTTTAAGAATACGTAAGAAATGCATGTTGTATAACTTTCCTTGAAAAAATGCTGGTTTCGGAAAGAAACATATTTTTATCCTTTTTTAAATATTTAGATCCGTTCCACCATCAGATTCATTGGGTGTTTTTAGTGTACTACAGGAACATCCTTGTATTCATTAGGATACATTGTTATGTAGTCATAGGATATGTAGGTCATTAGGAATTTTCCTGATACATTTTTAAAGAGATTAATTATGATGTTTTGAAGAATTTCTTTAAATGGTAGTTATGCAATGATTATGGATCAACAATACATCTGAGTGAGGTTGTCATTAGGATTTTAAATAAGTTCAACGTGATAACCTTATCTGGACTATTTGAGAAGTAGGATGGCCCTAGTCCTTAACAGATTCAGTTGTTTAGAGGCCACCTTTTTGGGTCTCAGATACCTAACAACTGTGAGCATTTATAAAGGTGTTATTTTGCGCACCGTTAGGTATGCATCTCCTGCCTGGAGCCAAAATCTCTTGCACAGACAAAATGACTCAGCTTCAAGTCACCAGACTGTACAGAAAGGTGTACATAGTACCTTCAAGTGAGAATAGAAGAAGATCCTAGGAGTTGGAAGAGGATTATCTGGGAGGATACAGTATAACAGTGGAACTGGCGGTGGTTGACGACTCCAAAAGGTTCAACCCTGAGAAAGTACTTTCCGACGGTCGAATCGCGACTAGAAGCAACTTGGGTGCTCCCAGACCTCTCTCCTTTTCTGAATATCATCGTTTTAGAATTTTCCCGATTAAATGTAAATTCCATTATTCACAATAGTTTTATAAATCTATAATTATAAGTTTAACTGGAATAAAAGCAATGAAGGCTTAAATACATCCTATCGTAATGGAATGGCCTTCACTTCTCTTTCAATACAATCCTCTATATCATTAATGTACCCACTGAAAAGAAATAGGCTAACTTTAAATTGGTTATTTGTGAAATAAAAAATGTGATATTTTTAAGATAACAATGTATGGGTAAACAATCAATCTTTACATTAGTTATGTTATGTGTTTTCTGTTACTAAAAGATACTTCTGCGAACAGTGTCATTTTAGAAATAACGTATTCAATTATTCCCTTATAATAATAATAATATTTTATTATGTGATATACAATTTTACTATTTACAATAATAATAATATTCCCTTACTATATCCCAAATAATATTTCAAGGAGTTCTGTCAATCCTTATAGGCACTCCACTCCTTGTTCAGAGTTTAGGCTCATTATTATTTTAACCATTTTGGTGGATACTCCTGAGTGATACAATTTGTAATATAATGCCTAGTAGTGAACTATACATTGGCAGATAGCGAAATATATGATACAAAATATAACATGTGCCTTATTCTATTTCTTCTGCAAATTCAAGATAATTATAATAAGTTAGCTGTTAATAGAATAATGTTTCCTAAATGCTGCCTATATTCTTTAACTAGTTATTGGCTATTAATTAGTAAGCCAATAATTTAATTATTGAATTTTCAGCCTTGATACTCATGAAATTCATTGGGTTATTCTTATCCTCTGCTTTAGAAACAGAGAATATAATGGATTATTAAAAGCTATTCGGTATTTCTCCCATTTCAAAGACGCTATTAATAGAATTGTGCAGTTGTTAAATAATACATTGTTTGTTTTTTTATATCTACATAGAGTTGTATATTTTAATTTTTAATATCTTACAACACTATTAAGCTGTTAATTATTTAATTTATATCTGTTAAAAAATGCACGATCTGACACCAGAAATGAAATAACAACTGACAGTGCAAATTAAGTGCAAATAAAATTAATGACTGGCAAATCATGATAGTGGAGGAGACACGGGGTTTTAAAAAATATAGATGTAGAGGAAGTAGCAACGGTTCTTTTGGAAACTGCCAAAAATTAACTTGACGTGCACGACGGTGAGAAGTCACGGGAATTTCAAAAAGTAGGGGAAAGGAGAAGAGTAGTGGGAGGCAACAACTGATAAGAGTTCCCCACCACAAAATGCAGGTAATCTAACCATAAATATCGTTCAGAATAAGCGTCCTTTTCCCACCTTGAAGCCCAGCGGGCATCATCCATATCATTACCAGATTCAGTGTTTACTGTTTTATTCAAAAATATTTTTAATATCGACTCAAAACTACAGTCCCATCCGAATCCACTTGTTTTCATCCTTGCTTCTTCCTCGATTCCTGATAATCCCTCTAGAATAGAAGATGGCGTCGTGATCTCACCTAGAAATAAATAGGGAGTGCTACCACTGGGTAGTATCTTTTCAAGTCTGTCCATGTCATTATTTCTAATGTATGCATTTTTATTAGTTGTATTTTTTATACATTTGTAAATCCCATTAAATAAATTTAAAAAATATCGACTCTCGATAGTTCTAGGCCTATATTTCTATCGATTATAATATATGATGCCTTGGATATTCCATCTCTTAACAGGTTAATTTGCTTCAGTATTACTTCATTTATTTAATTTTAGTAAATGAAGTAAGTCTTATCCAAATTAGACTGTAATGTATTTTAATTATAATAAAGTCTCGGAAGTACTACCGGTGGGTATTGCTTTTCCTCATGTCTATCAAATTTGTTTTTTGTATTTTCATTTTATTTTCCTTATAATTATGCCAGTCTGTCTGATGATTGTAATTGACAGGTGCGGATTAATAAATGAATGTGCAAAAAAATTATTATTATTTTCTCTATAACAGCATATAGGCTGGTAGGTTGCAGATAATAAATGTGGAGAATTGAAGAGTAAAAAATGTTAATTCAAAATGACGAAATCACAATTTTTCAAGCCTATATTTATTTAATTTTAAGATTTATTTTTTCTATTTAATTTTAAGATTTATGTTAATTACAATGACTTATAAATCTGACTGTTAATTGCAATTTATATAATGATCATCACATAGATCTAAAAACTTACACACAGGAGGAAGGGGGGGGGATTTACAAAAAGAAATGAAAGTATCCATTGAAGGATTACAATATAGACCGAACTCAGGCAAAAAAATTTAACCAAACTGAACATAATTTCACTAAACGATTTTGGAAGCAGTACTCATGTACAAGAATTTACAAATTTTTCCTTACATGAAATATGAAATGAAAATATTATTTCATTTTCGTAAACATAACTTATACTAAAATTGAAAGAAATTTACCATAGATTTCCAAGCAAAATGTATCGAGCCCTCAATTGAATTTTTAGTATTAGAAAAATATATCAATCACTTACGTTTAAAAAATCTCATAATTTAGAACCACAGTGTAATTTTACTTTCATGAAATAAATAAAGGAATACAATTATGACAGTTTTCTAAAAATGTGTTGGAGGTATCGATACCAGATCTTAGTTTTAGATACATTAAATTTTCCTTTCAAACCACTTTCTTAATTATTTTTCAATGCTTTCTCCATTTCAATATTTAACTTTAAAAATATAATAAATTTATTGAGTTACAAAAATAAGGCTCAATTTTACCATAGGACTTGCTTGAGTGCCAAAGTTAAAGGTACTTATATTTTGTTATAGGGGCCCACTGATAATCACTTCAGATCGAATAAACTCAATGTTTGATTAGTCCTGGTTAGTAAGAATTATTAATAATATTATTATTGCTTCGATTAACAAACAACTATTGGACTTTGGCACGCTAAACAAATACCTTACAGAGGTTGAGGCCGTGATGGCCATGTGTATTAGAATATTACCCACTTTAACATTCTTTAGTTTAGTGGCACCAGTTCAAATTCGGTCTGGACAGATTAAACTTTATTTCCCACTCTAGTTAGAATAGGTTTAATTGAAAATCTATAAATACCTCCCTCCATAATAATCCTCCCTCACTTGTTTGCCATAAATGGTGAGGTAGGAGTCAACTAGGTTTAAACTATTTATAATTTTGTCTTAACTTTTTTTTTAAAGTTAGACTTAGGTTTTAAATTCTCATAATTGTACAATACCTTTATAATACATATAATCTCAAAAAATAATTTTGATATTTATGAAAATTGAAAGAGACGATTCTCTTATCATCTACAAAACTAGTCAATGAAATACTACTGATTGAAATTAGCCATTATTCTGTAGGTTGTGTTTATAATTAATATTATAAAGATGGATTAATGTATTAGTAAATAAATATCCATTTATTTGGAATAATATTAAATATTCTTATATCTTTATATTTTAACCAACCCTTATACTGGTAAAATATTTTATACTTATTGTCTTAATGGAAATTGTATAGGAAATGCAATGAAATCATATTCGGCTAGTCATATTAGTAAGTTGATAATAGGAACTAACATCTGTAGGCTACTCAGAATAATCTGCGTAAACATTACTTTATCTTATCCAGGTCATCCGTCATATTTATCATTTGAAATGTCATATTATTTCATGAGTGTATTTATTATTGTAATGTCGTTAAGGCTTCAAGTTTTATCAAATCATATTTCCAAAACTATGGTCCGTATTTGATCCTGGTGACAAACTTTGTAGATTTCACCAGTTTCTTTATTTATTTATTTTTTTTCAGGGTGAAAGGCCTAAAATTTCGACACATGTTCTTGATACTTCTAGAGGTCTCCCAGCTTCTGGTTTATCTGTCAGCCTATACTATTTTAACAATGGCCAATGGACCTTAATTAAAGAAAGGTATAAACATTATTTATTCTTACCAATAGTATATTCATTTTAAAAAACACATATATTTGTGATTTTTTTTTTCTTTTATGATTTTTATCTTTATAGTCATGAAAGTTAATTACTTTTTTCCTCTAAACAAAATGACAAAGGGTCCTATAACAGCAGAGTTCTAATGATGATGACACTCTATTCAATTCAACATTGACATTAAGGAGCACATACGTGGTCATATTTTAATCGACATTTTATCATTTCTGTACTTATTACGTATCCCCTTTCATCTAATTGTACGAAAATTAAGAGCTATACTGTTAATATTGCTTTATCTGAAACTAATATTAACTTTTAAATAAAAAGTAAGATTTGACATTACTTGATAATTTGTATCTTGTCCACTAGTCAATAGTAACAACAAAAATTATGAAATTACACAGAAATGCTTATTTACTTAAAATAAATAGAAAAACAATCAACTAGCAGGTTTGATTTCATACTTATCAAGTTTATTACAGCAAACAAGACATAAATGTAAATATAACCAAATAAACATTTTAACTCCATATATATTTCAGTAGTAATTATGTTTGATTATTAATTATATTTCTATTTCTTATTTTTATAGTACTACTAACTCAGAAGGAAGGTGCCAAGATTTGATTTCTTCCCTTGCTTTTACTCCTGGTCGTTATAAATTACACTATGAAATAGAAAATTATTTTACTTCTAAAAACATAGCAACATTTTTTCCATTTATAGAGGTATTACTCATTATATTTTATAAAGAAATACATATTATAAGATATGTTACTATATTTTAATTTGATTTTTAGGTTGTTTTTGATGTTTCTTCCAAAGAAGAACATTATCACGTACCTTTGCTATTAAGTCCATTTGGTTACTCAACCTACAGAGGAACCTAAATAAAACATGAGTTTTAATTTACATTCATTACATCTTGTTTTATGCTTTTATTTGTCATTACTGACTTATATAAAGTCTTTAAATACTTAAGAAATAAAACTTTTTACTTATTATTTTATTATTTAAGACAATTGCCTCTTCCCAGTTTAATTTAATTTAGCAATAGAATATATTGTTGGAAATGATAATACTTTAGATTTTTAGGCATTTTGAATTAAGACTGAAATAGCAGAAAAAAATTGGACAGAAGGGTATAGTGAGCGTTATATCGATTTCAAAAAGGCTTATGACTAGATTGACTGTCAGAAGCTGTATAATAATCTGATTGAGCAGAGGATAACAAAAAAAATAGTAAATCTAGATTGTGCATGACGGAAACATTCAATAAAGTTAGAATCAGTAATTATTTTACTGAGAAATTGAGGTTTTTTTGGGATTAAAACAAAGTGATTTCCCTCACCTGTCCTATTTCATTTAGCACTAGAAAATGCCATTAGAGAGATTGTATGTACTGAAAAAGGTATATGGTGAAAAGTATCTATTCTCTGGTATGCCATTGATTTGGCAAAAAATAAATAAATTGAGTTATTTGGGGTAAATGACAAATAGAAAAATGAAATTGAAGAGGAAATGAAGGCAAGATTAAAAGCTGAATTAGTTATTTTTTGGTTGCAGCTTTTGTTCCAAAACCAAAACTTTTACACTTTAAATGGTTCTTTATAGATGCAAAAGATGGGCCACTTTCGTTAAGGATTCAACAACACTTCTTTGAACATAAAGTATTTAAAATATTTGAAATGAAGAACAATCTGAAAAAAATTTTAGACTAGTAAATAATGATGTAAGGATTAACAAAAAAAAAACTTGATTTATGCTACCAAATAAATAATTTATTATTTGATGATCCTAGAGATGTAAATGCGTGTTTTTAAAAAAAATTGAGTTAATTGCAAGGATTGTATAATGTGGTGTCTTTTATTTTAATTTTTCTAATTATGTCAATATTAGAGCCCATTATTATGTTATCAAAGGCACATTTTATGAAAAAATAAACAATTACACATTTTAGTATGAAGTTTCTGAAAACAATATCAGTATAAAGATCATGAATGAATGTGTTGCTTTAACATTTTTTTACCCTAATATCGAAGAAAACGGAAAGATACAATAAATCTATATGTGATGGCGCCATATTAAATTAGATAGTATTTTCATAAAAATTATCTAAGCTAAGATAAAATAAATTGATATGCCATATAGTAAATAAAGGAATATAAGTCCAACTCATCATTCTAAAAGTAGTTCGAAAGATTTTTAAATGCGATAAAAATCTGTTTTAGATGTAAGAGTGGCTTTAGAAATACTGAAATAATAATAAAAATCTGGTGCACGTATCACATAACTTTCATTTACCACTCTACTAGGAATCTTTTTCTAAACATTTTGGGCAATTACAAAGTTTTTGAAGTGAATTTTTAATGGAAATAAACCTTAAACTTTACAGCTAACTTGTAACAACTCATTAAGGCCATCAAAATAACACAATCCTTATTTGAAATTTAATACTAAGTGCAGAAAGCTTAGGACTGAAGAACAAGCTACCTAGAAATATTAGTCTAATGGCTCGAACTTGGTGCCTTTAATTGCCTAAAATAGGTTATTCAGCTTCCTCAATCTCCCTACAAGAATCCTTTTGAGCACCTATGTGTTCATTTAAAACGAAAAATCACGAAGAGTCTAATAAGCTGCAAGGAAGAACTTAAGAACCATGTCCTCGAAGAATGGTCTAAGATACCGAGTTCTTTGACCTCAAAACTGGTTTCTTTTATGCCCAATAGGCTCAGAGAAGTAATTAAATCAAAGGATAATCCCAAAAAATTTAAATTTATTTATTCCAACATCAATATCAGATTTGTCTTTGACATTTAAAGAAAGTGCCCAAAAATGTTTGTTATTTTAATTTTCATTGTTTTTTGTTTTGTTGTTCTGTTATTATTGTTGTTTGTATAAAAAATTAAATTAAATTATGTTATAAAACTTATGAATTAAAGTACTAAATATTATAACTTATTTTATTGGTTACAAACCCAATGAGTAAGAATTGCAACATTTTATTTGTTAAGTTCGTGAGTGTCCAGAAACTTTTGTTACTTACTGTATGTTTTACATATTTATGAAATATTTTTATTGTTCGCTTTTTATTTCACACAAATACAATAAAATAGTCTTTTAAACAATTTCATAATCTTAATTCGGTGGATTTTGTATACTTTTCTCAATCTTAAAAGCAACTTTAAAATTTTACATTCAGTTAGGAAATTCCATTTAGTTTCGTTGAAAACAGACAGTTTTCATTAAATAATAATAGTTTTCAGAAATTTATATAATTTTTTCTTCACTCTCCATTACCTTTTATGACTTTTTATGGTTGATATTATTTTTTTTTAAATTCTCAGCTTTCTTAAGATATCTTATAGGTATATCTTTTATCTTCTCACTATTATTTCCGGAAATTCATTTTTAATCTAAATAAACATTTTTTTCCTTTAGTCAATAATCAAATTCTTTCAAAGTCTATATTTAGCCTTATTTATTTTTATTTCTGACTATAAGCGATAGCTAATTATTTAAAATAAACCAAATTAAAGGTACTTTAGAGGAAGACATTTTGAACTATTAAGCGACGTCAATGGGGATAAGACCTACCTGATATTACAGACCATTTAATTATACATTGATACACCGAGTTTAATAAAAATCAAAAAGAGCCTTTTTGAGAAAATTGTAAAAATGTGGAAAATCGATGATATAAAGTGGCACTTCCGGTTATTTGATTTTCAGGAAAAAGTTGATCTGACATTCTAGGCATAATCTTATCTTAAATATCTAATATCAGTTTCGTACAACTTTTCGGTTTTGAGTTAGGCTGTTCACTCAAACACACAAACACACACACACATTCAGACCATTACCATTCTGCAAGACTTGGTTATTTGGACTTGGTGTATTTACGTTGAAAACTCAGATTCACATGATCGCAATACTTTTCCTTACTATTTATTATATAAGTGAAAGTAAAAAGAGAAAACCAGCAACTAAAAAACAATCGCTGCAATAACAGGACAGGCTTAACTTAAATCATCATTGACTAAAAGTTTGCTACTAGGGTTCTCTTTAATTATATCTCCCTTCTAAAAAAAAACTACCACTACATTCCATGAAGGGTCTTGGGTGCAGTACTATGTGAGGAAGTACTGTTACAAGAACAACAGGTGTGCAGGGAGATAACGGGCCAATATCACGCTCAACCGTCAGGTTTTCTCCCTTAATTATTCTTTTAATTAAGGGTACCGACTTTATAAAGGCTGAGTGTGCCCCAGGAGGGTCTCCCGATTCCAGGGTCGATCCACGGCTAATGAAAAATTACTAGTCATTAGCTGGATTCGAACCTAAGACCTTGAGCTCAGGAAATCAGTGCTCACCCACTGAACTACCCCGCTCCCCCTCTTCCTTATAATAAAATTATAATTTTCAATAATGAAAATTACTTCAGATTATTACCTATTTATTTTACACTAATAACTCAGTTAAATTAAAATTAGCTTCTTCGAGTTAACTATTTAATCCATTAATAAATTCACATTAATTTCATCAAAATGATAAATAACATATAAGTTAAGTCAAATGAAATGGATAATGAGAATAGATGTGAACTCAATGCACCCATCATTGCTAAAGTTAATAACATATTTTTTTAACCCTTATTTACATACAAGACCGGAACTATGGTTTTGGCGAGGAGCATAATTAGACAAGAGGCAAGCATTATTTTGCTAACCCACCTCTTCTAATCTCTCCCCTATAAAATAAAAGTCAACATTTTATAATAATAATTTAGGTAATATCATCAGTTTATTGAAAACAATCAGTAAGTACACTTTTGGTCAATTTATAACTGAAAATATGTAGTTGTTAATTTGGATCATATTTATCAATACACTAACTCATTAAATGCATAAAAATAATGCAAATTCTTTTATATGTAAAAAATAGTTTCGCTAAGTAAAAGATGTTCTGCTTTTACAGAGCAAAAAGTCATCAAGTTACTTAATGAAATTCTTGCTCTCTAAATAATGTTAAGATAGTACGCCAATATTCACTATCTGGTACATAACGACTTCATTCACTGGATTAATTGATCAGATGAGATGGTTAATAAAACTAACTTTTTTTTTTTCGCCCTACTTGGCATTGTTGGCAAACGGGGTTTCGGCAGCAGTGGGTTAATAAAACTAACTAAGTAAGAATTCTAACAAGTCTAACTCACAATCTATGTAATTGCAAGATTACAAAAGTAAGTATGTGTTTTGTTTAACTATTGGGTTGTTTCCTAAGTTCTTTCCCTTTTCTTTATTTGTTGTTTAGAGTTGATTTACTGTGTTATATAGAAACGCTTCTGCCCTATTACCTTCTCTCACCTCTCAGAAAGTTTCTTACATCTTTTTTGAAAATTGTTGAGACTTGCTTGCAAATATTAATCAAGATGCGTTTTCATTTTGTTTTTGACATTTATCACAGAGAATTTTTTAATGAAACAAACAAGTAATAATAATATAATAAACAAGTAATAATCAGATAGAGTAAGGTCTGTAGGTTCGGGGAGTACGGAGGATGAGGTAGATTGTCGCAATCAATAAAAGTTTTTGTCTTATGGCCAATTCTCCATGTTTCGTTGGCAAAAGCGAAATAAAAACACATCTCGATTTATATCTTACAATTAAGTCTCAACAATTTTTAAAGAAAGAGTATAAGAGACGTCCTGAGAGATGAAAGAAGGTAATAGGGCAGAACAGTTCATATATAACATAGTAAATCAACCATAAACAACAAATAAAGAAAATGGAAAGAACTTATAGGACAACCTAATATGAAAGTGTGCAAAAAGTCACAATGTGTGTCATGATTTCAGTTTTTTAAATTTTATTATTAAATGCTAAGTATTTTAATTAATTATCGGAAACAGAATACATATTTAGAATTGCAAATAACAAAAAATAAATAATCAAATAGCTATTTTAGTATTTTTTTCAATGAATCAGAAACTTCAAAACTGTTTACACTAAATTCATTAAAATGTTACATAATGACTTTTTGCTATAAACCGATGATTAATTTAAAAATGAATATCATCTCACAACATTAATTTATTTTATTGACTGAATTAAGGACAAACCAACCAAAAAGCTTATTCCTGTTTTTTGGTTGATGCGACCTATATAAATATAAATTTTGTATAAACTAAAACAAAAACTTTTCAATTTGCATTTAAATTAAACTTTTAAATTTGCATTTAAATTAAACTTTTAAATATTCACTTGAAATTTGCCACTATCTAAATTTTGCCATCCGGGGCAAGTGTCCCTTTGCTCCCTCCTAGTTCTAGCCTTGCTTTCACATTCATATCAATACATACTATGCTCTCAATAATCTTTTTCTTCACTCAACTTGAATTACTGCAACTTTAATCTGTAAATAACACATTGTAGATATTAAAGAAAAACTAAAAACAAATATATTAATCACAATATATTCCAATACTTAGTACAGGCATAATAACATTAAAAATTGATCACATTATTAAAGCGATAAGATTCTTACGCATAACTTCTTTGTTCGAACATAATTATAAAATTTTCTAGAGGTTTCATCATTATCATCGAAGCTCCTTAAATGTTTTTCTTTCATACTTTAACTTGGCCCAAATTCCCAAACACATGGATTTTAATCTGTTGTCAATGATAGGTCCTTGACCAGCAAATATATATTGTGCTTGGATAATACTTTTGGCTAGTTTAAAACGCTGTTTTTGAATAAGGCTCAGTGCCATATATAGTTTACAGCGAGCTGCTAAATATGGATCACCAAGTCTAATAGCTATCTGGAACTGACGGACTGATATTTTACCAGCTATTGTGGCACAATTTTCAATACTATCACCTAGTGCTGAAAAAGCACCACCCAATGTTGAAAGCCATGCCATTGCATTGTCTAACTCTCGCCTTTCTAGACAAGAAACTTCAAACATTCTATTACCTTTATAATCAATCATTTCTTTCTTTGGATGAATAATATGAACACATATAAAAATTCTATTCACTTTGTTACTTGATCCATGCCAATTTTTCTTCTTTAAAATAAAATTTGCCAGTAAAGTTCTGTAAGAAATTGATGATTTAAGAACATAGTAGAACAACGAAGCTAAATAACTATCCATAATAACTTTGCATCTTTCAACTGGCTTTAAATCTTCAAGAGATGTTATGAATAAATCGGCTTCATTACTGTCTTGCTGAATGATTTGATCAGGAACCAAAAATTCCCAATTGGAAGAAAACGGAACCAAACAGAATTCATCTAAAAAATTTCTGCCGAAAAATATTTTAAAATCTAAAAATAACATTTTCTATAAAAAGCATTGAATATTAGCAATATCACGTAAACACAGTTGGAATATTTCTTTTACTGAAAATTTCTTGAACATTGTTTACAAATAGCAAGAATATGGAAGGTTTTAGTGTTATCGAATTTGAGAGATATAAAGAAAGTCATCTTTGTGAAAATTATTAAATAAAAGGTACATTGTTAACATTTTATACGATGACCCAGGAAAGGGCGTTAACAAAACTGAATGAAGCTTGTCGGACTTTGAAAAGATATTATATGTACTTTATTTCTATGTTATCATGTCATTTTTATGACCAGGCACCGAGATGAAGAAGCATCTAATATTTTTCTATATTTTTAAGTTCAATAAACGAAACATGGAATGAAAAATGCAAAAGGGAAAAAAAGAATGTCTAGCGAAAAGTTCAGCTAATCTCCTTTAGTACTAAAAAAAGACGTCAGCCTCTTTAGAAACCAACCAGCCTCACCTCTATGATGTGCATTCTCTTGAAGAGCACAGGCGGATCTACGGGGAGAGGAGGGGGGATTTCGGGCTGTAGCCCTCCTCCAAAATGGTAAAATGTAACCATGTTTTCTGGAAAAAATTTTAAAACATCATCTCTTAAAGTATTATTGTTTGTGTAATTACATTTAATAAGACTTCAAGGATCATTTTAACAACATTTCATAGAGGTAGTTTGTATTTTTCCCTTTATTCCAAATTAATTATCGTTTTATATATATACATATATATATATATATATATATATATATATATATATATATATATATATATATATATATATATATATATATATATATATATATATATATATATATAGGATTTAATTTTGGACTGAAGCCCCTCCAAAATTAAACCCTGGATCCATTAGTGGTGGAGAGGATAGTCAAGCATCAACAGGATGTCTTCCTTGTGAATTAAGAAATAATTAGGGAGAAGCAGGCAGGCTTTCGAAAACATTTGTTAATTTCATACCAAGTGGAGCTCAATCTGACCTTCTACTTCCGAGGATCCTACGAAACTATCAGCGAAGCAAACTCCTGAATAAAATGTTGAAATCTATAAAAAGAAACATGCTGTATAATATCATGAGTTAATGGTTTAGAAAAGTGAGTTGTAGCAATATTGCTTGAGGCTACCATTTACAGAAAACAGGTTTCCTACTGAGAACAGTGCTAAGTTTCACGCTTTTTAGCATGGGAATTAATGATTTAAGATGAATCTTATTCCTAGAATGGGTATCAAAGGAGCCCTTACACGGTCAATAATATTAAGTCAATATCATGTTTCGTCAATCAATATCCTGCACTGTCAATACTTGCATCCTGTATGCCGACGGCATTCAAATTTACCTTTCTTTAAATCCGACGGATTCCTCAGATGACATTCTACAACTTCAAGAAGATATCAATAGAATAAGTGCTTGGACAAACCTCAACAGGTTTCTCACTCTGAACGCCGAGAAAACGAAAGCCGTCTTGACTGATCGGATCCCTCTCACTCCTTAAATCCTTCCCGATATCCCCCAATCTTCTCTTGAACAACTCACCTATCTTATTCCATACTACCGTTAAAAACCTAGGTGTTCCTTTTTATCAAACCCTCCCCTGGAAACCACAGATCTCCCAAATTCCCCGTCCTACTATCTCCACCTTAAAAAAGTTTAATCGTCTACGTTATCTCCTTCCATATAAGTCCCGTCAACTCCTAGTTTCCTCCCACTTTGACTATGGCTGTATGCTGTACTTTGGACTCTCGGGAGATTTCGAGGCCAGACTTAAACGCCTAATAAATTGCGCATTAAATTTTTTTTTTTTTCGGAATCTCAACAGATACGCATATTACCCAGAGTTGAAGTGGCTCTATCCATCCTATCCCCGTCAGTACTTCCTAGCCACGTTTCTGTACCAAATCATTAGAGCTCATCGACCCTCCTATATTTTTCACAGCTTAAAATTTAATTTCTCTATCCAATCCCATCCCAATCACTTCCGACCTCTATATCATCGCCCTCACCGAACTGCTACGTTTAAATCCTTTGCAATTCAAGCCGCTTCCCTCTGGAATTCCATTCCTGCTGATATTTTCCTCTTTTAAACACCTACTCCTTTGCCAATTCAACTGATTACGAAATATACCAAAGAGAACTATTTAAGTACCCCCAGCGACCACTTCAATTCATTTAGGTTTCCTATGTCTGTCTTATAATATATATATGTACAATTTTCTTGAACTTTTCTCTATCTTCTTCTGTATTTTTATTTTTAATTAACTCTTATTGTAAATATATAATTTAATTATGACCACAAAGACATGCAATCTGTACTTATAATTTGTTCTAAAGAGACAACAGTCCCAGAATAATAAAATATATTATCATTTCATTTCATAATGGAATATAGGTGCGAAGCTTTCCGCACAGCAAGGGACATGGCGGAAAGCAAACTAAATAAAGCTCAGAACAATTTAATACTTTGTGGGTTTGGCTAATGGCGTCTAGCTAAAGCCTAGTAAATTGCCAAATTTATTTCAGATTAATTTTTTTAATTTAAATATGCAGAATCTTTCGTTTTCGATTGGCGTCTTCGTTTTATTGAAACTAAAATTTCATTAAAGTATCAAAAAATATTTTCTCTTTGGTAAACGGTCAGTAGATTCAATCTCTGCATAAGATGGCTAACCTTACACTGTTTTGTAACCTTCTAAAAATGTTGACCGAATTTAGAGCAGTTCTCTCAAAAAGTTTTATTTCTTATTTAAAAATACCTGTAAGATTCAAAAGTCAAAGAAGGAATTTGGGAAAACCTCCTGGGGTCGCTAAGACCCTAGCTCAACGCCTTGAAGGTTGTCTGTTATTCATGATAATATTTGGGATATATTTTTTTTCCTCATATTGATACTCACATTATGTTTACAGAAATAAACTATGAAGATCCAAAAGTTTGTTTTAAGGTGAACATTGGTTTTTTGAAAAATAAGATATCTAGGAGGGAAGTGATTGAAAAACGTTTAAAACACATAAAAAATAATAGGAATGATCCAACTTTGGAACTGGCAGCGAGGAACAATTCTTGTATGTATGTTATTTAAGTTAATTTTCGTTTTAAGGTCATCTCTCCGTCATTAATAATAAATACATCTTTTACTCAGTAATTGTGCCCCTGGATGATGTAGAAGAAGAATGGGCTTTCAATAATGGACCGGAGCACATCAAGGCGGCTGCTGAACATTATGGAATCTTTGACCACCTTTTTGGTGATGCAGTATTTCTTCCAGTTGTTCCTTTAAGAATAAATTATAATTCTGGAGAAGAACAACATCTGGTATACAGAGGAAATTACCTTACTCCAAGTTTGGTCAGTTTCATAATCTATTTCTGGTTAATTATATTTTTCTGAGTATTTTTAGCTAATTTACATTTTATGGACTGAGTTATATAAGCCAGGCATTTCTATAAAGTGTACGATGGTCAGTTGGATTTAATTCAATTGTTAAATCCATCATTTTGCTGCTGATGATGAGGAGTGGCGCAGTATTGATAATCCATCAGCTTAATGCTGAAATAAATTCTTATGGTTTTTAATCTTATGAAAATGACATCTGTACAACTTTAAAAATATTACTCTACCATGATGGGTGGATACAAGATCTCGCACTGTAGATGTGATTCTGAAAATGATTGAACATTTCAGAGAGTAGATAGAAGTGAACAAACCCTTTGATAAGGTTCTGACCTTAACTAGAGAGAACCTTTCTTCTTTTCTTTTCTACCTTGCCTTAATGGTCACAAAGTGGTTACCTGGGCCGAGGAATACGCCAATTAATACCAGAGTTAAATGCCCTGGTCCCGTATAGCAATGGAACTCAAACTCGTAATCTTTGGGTGTAACTTACCAGGCAACATGTGTTTTGAAAACTCATTAGGCTGCTCGGCAATCCCGTCTCTTCCCATTGAAAAGAAGCTGTTGGGGACTTGCTTAACCCTATTCAGTGAGAGGAAGTCTAAAGCCATGATCTGATTAAGATGTTGATGTTAATTGAAAAGGTACCATCAGAAGTTGTAACTTCTGAATCTTATTCAAGAAACGTAATTACTGAAAAAGTCAAGAAAAGTACCAGGAGTGTAAGTTAAAATTTAATTTTTGGGAAATACAAATCACTATGTTTTCAATGCTTGTTGAAATGTAACAGCTGTAAGTATTATCTTAAAAGTATAAAATATATATATGTTTTTTACTGTTACTCTCTTAATGCTTTCCTTAAAACATTTATAATATGCTGGTTATGTCTATTTAAGCTAATTTGTTTTGCTTTTGGCAGCCTTCCATCTCTTATTTGGTTACTTGATCCCACATTTGATTCTTCAAGTAGTAACTTAAACTTTCACAAGTTCAATAAAAATATCAAAAATGAATAAGTTCTGTCTTCACCATCCTATTAGGTTCTCTTGAGTGCTCCAGCTCAATTTTTCATTTTGAACCTATTTCACTTCTTCTGATAAGTTTGTCAATTTACCCCTTAGCCTTGAGGCTGATGGTGGAGTGACAAGGAATAAGGGGTTGCCATGAAATGCAAACTAAGCCAAATAAAATGAAAAATATTACTTGTTAACTGTACATTTATTTAATAAATCATATTTTATTCTTGTGATTCATTGAGCTCTCTGTGTAAGAAGTAAGATCACAATGTTTTATTATCAAACTGTAATAAAAACTTTATAATTATTCTATTTTATCATCCTAAAATCCAAATTGCATAATGTATCAGAATCTACTAATCACCTTTTGTATTTCTCATTTTGTTTTAAATTTAATCAAATCATCATTTGATGAAAAGTAACTTGAATTTAATAGTTGAGAGCCTTGAGATCCTTGATTTTTTTCTATGCTCTATTGCTGAATACCATGTTCATTTCATTTCTGGCTTCAAACCCAGTATTGTTTGTCAAAGATTTATAAAACAAATTGTTAACTATAGTTTTTTTTTCATTCTTTTACAGTTGACAGATGCACCACAAGTGAAATACCAGGCGAGTCCGGATTCATTTTGGACTTTGCTTATGTCAACTCCAGATGGTCATTTACAGGATAGTGAAAAAGAATACGTTCATTGGTTAATGTATGAATTTACTGTTTTTCTTTAAATATACAGTAATGCCATAAACTTGCTTTACATTATTTAAAATGTAATGTATGGATTATTTTATATATATAAATTATTCTATTAAGCTTTATTACTTTTTCCTTTCAATTTTAATTATCAAAACTTAAACATTTTTCTAGAAAAAACAAAACAAAAAAAATAGCTATATGTTAGACTGTTTTATTTCCCTCAGAGTGGTTCTATAAAAACATTATGAGTTCAAAACGAACATAGCAAAGGTTCATGATCATGCTACTGAGATGATGAAACTTTCATGTCTTGGTTGAACTGTTTATTTGTCACAGAATAAATTTATGTTTGTATATTGCTTTAAAAAAGTGGTCTTTCTCTATTATGGACCAGACCCGATTGTGTTCTGACATGCACTTAAAAGTATTCTTCGATTTTTATTTCTTGAGTGAGTGGAGATCATTGATTGTGATCTACAAACAATTTTGTTTATTTTTATTTTCTAATGAAATAAATAGCTCATAACTGTTACTTGGCACAAGTGATGAAGGAAACAGTGTCAGTCAGAGTTTTGAGCCAATTGAATAATGTATAAAGATAATTAGGGTACTTGTATATTATGCTGAGTATAAGAAAGGAAGAGAAGCAAAATAAAAATAAATAAATAAAAGGCTAGGAAAAGAGTAAAATAAAATAGTTAGCCAGAAATTATAGGTTGCATTTCAAAGAAATAAATTAATGTATGTTGTTTTACTAACATATCTGCTAAGTCAAATACGGGATAGACTTCATGTAAAAATAGTTGCAGTAATATCGTATCATATATAATTTAATAAATTAATAATAAAATATGAAACTAAAGCATAATTTTGGATTTCAGTGGTAATATCAAAGGAAACGATATAAATAATGGAGAAGTTCTGTTTCCTTACCTTCAACCATTTCCAATGAAAGGTTTAGGTTATCTACGGTACATTTTTATCCTTTTTAAGCAAGAATCTGAAATGGATTATAGCAATTTAAAGAACAAAATTTCTTCCAAGTAAGTATGTTTTATTTAAGCTCATATTTAGTTTACTGTTTTTATAGTAATTATAATTTTAAGATTAGGATTGCCAAATACATCATACTTTTCTTTAGTTGATTTTACCAAATTAAATTTAAAATTTGAAAATTGGTAAGGTTAAGGTTAACTTTCTTGGCATCCTTATCTATGCAGTCCTCCATTACTTTTTAAAGTAAAAGCAATAATGAATTATTCTTGATTATAACTGTTAGCATCCACCAACATGCTGAAGTTCAGAGATGTTTTTCTTGATTTCTGAAGGTTCATCAAATGCTTTACACTTATAATAGACCTACTGATACCGACAAGTTTAGTGTGTTCTTCTTATGCACAAAAACTAAAATCTGTTTTCTGCACTATCCACCCAAGATAAAATTTTAACAGCTAATTTATTTCCAATCCAGAAAAATTAAGTTATTAGTAGGAACTCCTAGGAGGAGAACTCCTTTAGGCCCTCTCATAACTCGTCCATTACTCATTGCCTTCATTAGCATTTGTTCAATTTTACCAGCTCTTATTGCTCCTTTAGTTAAAAATAAAATTCTTTCATAGTTAATATTTATCCATTTTTTATTACCAGCTATAATGTAGAATAGTTAATTTTTTCAAATAAACAAAATCAAAGATATTGAATGAAGCTAGTCGACTGTTCTACATATCATGGGTGATAAATATTCAGGACGCAGTCATTATAAAAAATTTTTATTGTGCTGACGTTTCTGCAGACTTGCTAAACTGCAATTCTTCTTCTATAGGAGAAACCAAAAATTATTTTAAAAATTGAATATATCTCAATAAATACAGCATCTCCACACGAAACCCCCTCGCCTAGAAAATAGCTGAACACGCCATAACCCTCACCCACACATTTGGTTTTGAAAACCCAACCATACTTGCCACAGTTCCCAATCATCAAAAACAACTACTTTCTAAAGCTATATTCATTAATTTGGAAAAAAATAATCTGATAAACCACAAAGTAGATAAAGCAAAGATTCTTTCAACACATATTTGAATATTTTCCGCCTCCTAAAACAATAGTCTAAAATCATTAAAATTTTGTTTTTCATTTTCCCCATTTCCTCGTCAACTTACATAGGTAACTACTCCTATGTTTATTATTATATATATAGATATAGATACATATAGATATAAGGGGGCTGGGTTAGACTTGTGGGCTAAGGCGGTTGCACTAGATAATCAAAGTTCTATGACGTGGCTAATACTTGGATGGGTGACTGTTCACTAAGGAAAGCCACGCTGCAGGAGATTCTTCCCCTCCCTCCGGTATGTGAGGCCTGTCAGCCTACTGGAGGCAACTCACACCGACCGGGCGTAGGATTGGTGACCATAACACCCCCCTCCCCCCGTACTTTAAATCGGGATGTGGTCTAGGAGACCACACTTGCGGTGAAAGATCTTCATGGTTTGTAGCGCCAACCGAAAAAAAAAGAAAAAAAAAAAAAGAAGAAAGCCGATCTAGGTGAAAAAGGTGCTGAAACATCCAACTGAAATTATGTGTTTAAGAAAGGTATGTGACCTTTCTTAAACACATAATTTCAGTTCTGTACAACTCATGATTTTTGAACGAGGCTGACCTCAATACATATATTTCTGTACAATAATCTTCAAATATCGCAATACTTTGCCTTACTATGTATTTCATATATAGCTAAGTGCAAGTAAAATTGCAGTAGCATCATGGATCTTAGCAAAAGTCCTCAGCCTAGGTCTAGATGAGCAACTGCAGGCAAGAAGAATGATCAGTCTTCTGCACTAAAAGTTTCATTCAGGTGTTATTTAGTATGTCTGAAGAATATTGTATTTCTTGGTCCCTAACCTTTCAGTTAACTAATAAGACTATGAAATCTGTTTTGGCAGCAGTAACTAAGCAAGTCAGTTTTTTTTTCTTTTAAGCCTCATTGCTTAAATAGTAAGATCAGTTAAGTTCAGAGATCACTTGATGCATGCAGAGAACTTCTTATTAGGTTGGAAAAAGTTTATAATAGATTTAATTTTTCTGAATTGCAACGATCGATATGCTTTTTCAGATGGTTTATTTATTAATTTCTTAAGCTCTAATTATGTTCTACTAAACCAAAATTTGATTGGTACTGAGCAAAATGTATTATTTGAAAATATTAGCTATTGTTTTGTTCTATTCAAAGTTAAATATATTTCTATATCACTAAAATTTTAATATGGTTTTAGGTTGGATTTATCTGAAAGAACTTTTTCAACATATGAATTTTATAGAAGGAGAGAGGCACAGCTGACGCCAGCTGGTCTCGCTTGGTTTCAGGCTGATTGGGACCCATCAGTCACTGATTTCTTTCATAAAAAAGTGGAATCTGAAGAAGAGCCAGTTTTTGTATATGACTTTCCAAAGCCCACTTATAGAAAACAGGAATGGTACCCAAAAAGAAGGCCGTTTAACTTGTAAGTTATTTAAGTAGTATTTTTTAAAAATTCTTTCAAGAGAATTAGTAAATAATTTATTGTTTATAATTTTTACATATCATCTTGGCCTAACTGATGTAATTTTATCTATAAAAATACAAAACAATAAAAAATGATAACATGTACCTCCACCATCCCATAGAGGGTATTAAAGTACTTAACAACGAAATACTCATGGTTCTCCTAAATAGTGTTTCTTGACCATTGGTTATACCTAAAGTGGTGGTATTGTCAGCCACTATGCTGATCCATCAGATTTTCACCTGATCCGATGAACAAACAATTCATTTTAAAACAGTGAGGCTGGATGTTTCCCAGGATTTTTTTCTGACTTACCCCATATGCCAGATTTGATCTGCGGCTTTTAATACTAGAACTAAAATTTTTACTACAGCAGGATTTGAACTTACTTAAGCCAGGATAAGGAATCTAACACCTCACTCAATATGCTATCCCGCTCCCATCTCATTTACTATATTTGTATGATATTTTTCCTCCTTAGGATCTGATATGTCTATTCTAATGTTTGGGATATTCCTGCTTGTTATGTATGTGTTAACACATGTTGGACTACCTAACATAAAACAGTGAAACATACAGTCTGTTAATAATAGGACCTTAAAAAAGTTCTTGCTGTTTCTTAAACGACATCAGTATTATGTGTGTTCATTTCAGATGGCAACGCAATGTTCTAAGAACTACTGTCTGTAATCTTAGACTTCAGTGTATGGTAATGTGAACCAATTTTAAAATTAGTAAAGCGGAACACGATTGAACGGGGTGGGAGGTTGGAGGAGAGAGGTGGTTGTTTAAAAATTTGGTTCATTAAGTTCAAATTTGATCTTAAATAATTAATTTTACATAATCACAAGTTTCTGTTAACCAGATGATTGATAAATCGAAGTTTACTGGATATAAAATAATAAAGAGTTCGAGTCCTCGTTTCGGAGGGCTTTTAACTTTAGGACATTAATCTCCCGCCATCTCCCCTGGATCAGGAAAATCCCTGTATAGCCTTAAATGAGAGGAAAGGGTGGACAAAAAAAAAATCGTGGTAATCAGATGACATAGTATTCAACTAAATTAAGGTTGAGAATTTAGTTCTAAAGGTGTATTTTGGAGAGTGGCCATGGAGAAGTACGAGGTGACACAAAAGAACCTTGTCCCTATAGTAGAATACTTTTCATCACCTCTTCTGATCACTTTAGCATTTTTATCTAGACCACCGTTTCAAAATACCTTAATCTCCAGCCACAGAAAAAGAGAAATGACCTACTACTTTACTGAAAGGTCTTGAGATAGTTTGAAAGTAGAATTCATCACTGAATACCCCATCATTTGACAAGAAAGATCCTGATAAATATGAGTCCAACATCACCAGTGCACGCTCTTGGATCTTATAGAGTCCATCCTGTCTTGAATCTTATAGAGTCCACTGTTGTTTAAGGGTTAATTGACTAGAATAAGTATAAAAAATAAATAAATAACTTTTCTGTTCTTGAAGGGTAAATGTAAATATTTACTTATGGTGTTTTTTTTTTTATATATAAAATTATTGCATGACTTTAAATGAAATATTTTGTTTCCTGATTAATGTTGTTCATTTATTAACTGATATTGTTTTTTACAGATACTTAGATCGATACAGAGATGAAAAAGAAATCGCTAAAGAATATTTAATGAGGAAATTGAATAAAACTTTTCCATTCGCTCCTCCTCCACAACCACATCCCTTCCCTAATGCAATTCCATTTAAGGAAAACACCCCTTCTTGGCTGAAAACAGAAATAAGAAAGAGAAGGCTTTTGCAGGCAAGAGCTTTTGATTATGCCTAAGAAGGAATTAAATTTTCAAAAGAAGGAATGAGATTAAATTGAATTTTGAATTCCGTTTGAACTTGTAATAGTGAAATTAGTTTTCTGAAAAGATATTGTAGTAAGTTATTTTCATTCAGCTAATTGTCTTCCCTAATTGTATATCATTAATAAGTATCAACCTCAGTTAATGCAAAAAGTATTTCTTTTAAAAATAACGTTAGGATAACATATATTACAACAACAAAGTATGTGACATCAATTTTTTGTATTTTTGAAATTAACTTTGTGTTTTGAAACAATCTTAACACACTCTGATATGTATGTTTTGTAATATTTTGGACTTAGGTACTGTCCTCATTTCGTTGCATTGTGTATATCTTGTAGTCTTTGTTAACAAATGAAAATTTATATAGTTTTTAATTTCTATTTAAAATCATTAGTTTGGGCAATAATAATTGAACCAAGAAATAAAATATCAGATGAATGAAAATATGGAAATTTATAAAAGATAATTTCATAATTTATCTAAAATAATAAGCATTGAAATACTATAGTGTACATATATTTTTTTACAGCGGTACTATCTCAAATCTAATAAGGATTTTTTTAAATTCACATAAAAATTTGATCATACGTATACTTACTCAATATCTTTTCAGTTTACAGACTGATTATAAACGAATGAATAATTATATGTAAATAAAATTTTATTATACCATAAAGTTTTAATAACTGGTTTATCATTTATTTTAATCCTTACACTATTCTTAAATAAAACTTAATATCTCTAAGTTAATAGTAATAATTAGTATTAATAATAATAATTTTGCTTCATAAGTGACAGTCACTGATGGAATGGCAGTTTAAATGTTGACTTGTCTATCATTGTTATTTTGGGATCAAGTATGGCAAAAATGACCACCCGCCTTAATTCATTCTAAAATATACAGTTTCTACATTTAATGGAAGTTTATAAAGAGATAAATGTAGAGTTCATTTAGTCCAAAGCCTTTTTCTGAAATCTTATCCGGCAGACCATATTATTGAGTTGGCTGCAACTCAGTTGTTTTTTTTGTAATCTTATTTTATATATTTCTATCCAAATTAGAATAGTTTGATGATTTTTTGTACACCCACTTATATACCTGTATCTGCAGGAGGAAGAACCTTGTAGACTAAGCCTAGGCTCTGAGGTTACCCTTGAAGAAAGAAAAAGCTTCTCCCGATGATTAGTTGCCATGTCAATTATACCATTCTTAAATTTATTTAATTTGCATGCACTAATTCATAAGTTACTTTTTAATTGAATAAAAAAAGATTATTATATGGAACTTGCGAATTAAAACGGTCTTCCCAAAGTTGGTTTCTTTCAGGTATACTACTAATTATATTTCTGGGCCAAATTTGTTGATTGTAGAGCCGTATTATGAAATTGTTCATGTCTCAAAACAGTTATCTTTAACCTTCTTGTTAAAAAAATCTATGATACCATTTAAATAATTTATTAAGCTCAAATTTCATTTTACCAAAATAGTCAATACATTGAAAATAAATTTATATATAAAATTAAAACATCATACATCTATATCAATAGAGGGTAGAAAATTTTGGGTAAGGAGGTATGATAAAATACTATCAACTTTTGTAACAGCCATGGCAGACTTCCGCAAATACTTTACAGTGTCTTGTATTTCTATTTGATTCACCAATAGCCTCTGGTTAATTTCATTAACTTGATCAGATGTAAACTTCAAATTACTCGCTACTAGTTGGTTGAGATCCTCCTTCAGTTTATGATTACTTTCTCCTTAAACAAAATTTTGTTAAAATTATAATTCATGAAAACAGTAAAATGGTTTTAATTTTAGGATTAAAGTTTTGATTTAGATTAGATGAAATGTTTTTACATTCTATACTGTTAAAATCCTCGCTCATTACCGCGTATGGGGAGCATCCCACGAGTGGCTTATGTGGGGATGGTCGGTGGAAATTCCTTGGAAGTTCCTCCCGGCTAAGTCCGATGGACTCGCTGACCAACAATGAGAGGGACCCTCCAGACTTGCTGGAGGGAGGGGACCTCCAGACTTGCTGGAGGCAGGGGACCTCCAGACTTGCTGGAGGCAGGGGCCCAACAGACTTGCTGGAGGGTGTGAGGTAGGATTGAACGCCCTACTCATATATCTTTAGTTCACCATACACCACAAATAATCATGAATCTCCCTAAGGTAAAACGATCATTATCTGGAGGTAAACTAGTCCCCCGTTCAAACCTCCGGGTGGGGACTGCTTTAGGGGATTCATGGTGCAAGTTGAAAAGTAGAGATTTGAATATTGGTACGTGGAACGTAAGGAGCTTAAACACAGTAGGGAGGTTAAAGTTGATCGCGAATTAGGTTAATGGGTACAATTTGGATGTTGTGGCTCTGCAAGAGGTTCGCTGGCCAGGGGAGGACTCGATGAGGGAAGGAAAGTACACTATTTGGTATGGAGGAACGGGAACCATTGTTTAGGAACCGAGTTTCTAATTAGGAATAGATTTCTATGCACTTTGAGGGACGTTAAATTCTTTAGAGGTAGAATTTTGGTAGCGATATTTCAGGGATGTTAGTTTAAAATCGTGTTTATAAACATACATTGTCTGACCGAAGACAGTGACGATGAAGTCGAATGCAAATTTTATGATAAACTGGAATGGGTTTATGATAAACTACCTCGAAACTACATGAAAATAATTGTAGGTGACACAGACGCAAAGGTGGGGAGGGAAGGAGTTCTATCCCGACGATTGGTAAAGAAAGTTTGCATGAATATAGTAATGATAATGGGATCCGTCTGATAAACTTTGCCATCTCGAAAAACCTGATAATTAAAAGTACTACGTTTAAACATAAGGATATTCATAAATATACCTGAACATCACCGATAATATTCCTTGTGAACTAATTAAGGCATGCGGGGAAACTGGAGTTTCTAAAATATATCTGTTGGTTAAAAAGATCTGGGAGAATGAGAAATTACCTGAAGAATGGAAAGAATCTATTCTTATTCCGATTCACAAAAAGAAATAAATCGGTAATAATTTGTCCGAAAAGTTTGAGGTTCGTGTGGGTTTAAAACAGGGTGATTCCCTTTTGTCTGTCCTGTTCAATTTGGCATGAGAAAGTGCCATTAAGGAGGTGATGCATACCGAAAAAGGATTGGATCTGGGTGGAACAACACCCATGCTTCGCTATGCAGATGATCTGGTCCTGTTAAGCAAAGACACGGAAACTATAAAACTAAATAAATATGTCAACTTTAATGAAAGCCGGTAAAGAACTAGAGTTCGAAATAAACACGGATAAGACAAAATATATGATTAGCTGCAAAAATAGCCATATCGCTGGTGATATTGATATAGAAGGTAACATGTTTGAACAGGTAGAGAAGTTTAAATATCTAGGATCTACGATAACTAAAAAAAATGTAATTTAAGAGGAGATTAAGGTTAGGCTGAAGGCGGGAAATGCTTTTTATTTTTCTGTGACAAAACTACTAAGCTCGAGCATCTTGTTCCAGAATTTAAAGACTAGAATCTATAAAACCATTATCCTACCTACAGTTCTTTATGGGTGAGAAACGTGGCCACTTATATAAAGAGATAAGCAACATCTTAAAATTTTTGGAAATAAAGTATTGAGTAGAATATTTGGACCGAAGAAAGATGAGTTAACCTGAGAATTCAGAAGGTTGCACAACGTTGAGCTGCATGAACTGTATTCAGTTAATATAATTGAGGTGATTACATCGCGGAGAATCAAATGGGCTGGTAAAACAGTTGGGCTTAGTAACGAAAGAATTCCAAAAAGGTTGATATTTGTCGTACCGAATGGTAAACGTCCGAGAGGTAGACCGAAGGAAAGGTGGGAAGATTGCGTTAAGGCTGATCTGAAGGGACTGGATTTGGGCAGCGAACGGTGGAAGGAGATGTGTAATAACCGATTTGTGGTGTTGGCATAGAACCTCCGGGTTCTCTAAGCCTTTTATTATTATACTGTTAAAATACAAAAAAATATTTCAATTAGTGATGTACATAAAAAAAATAGGACTTGACAAAAACCATTTATATAATTAAATAAAAAATTTAATAAATATAACTAAAAGAACGTGAAATTGTTTATTGCTATATTATAACTGTTAGAAATCTAGAAAACAAAAAAAAAGTGAAATGATTCATCCTAAATAGTCATTAATAGATATGAAACAGGCCCCTTACATTAACGGATGAGCAACGTCTTAAAATTTTTGAAAATAGAGTATTGCGCAGAATATTCGAACCAATGCATGATGCGTTGACTGAAGTATTTAGATGGTTACACAATGCCAAATTGTGCCAACTGTATCCAGGTTATTATAATGGAGGTGATTACATTCTCTAAAAGGCTAATATTTGCTGTGTCGACTGGTAAATGTCTGAGGGTTAAACTGAAGCAAAGGTAAGAAGATTGCATTAAGGTTGATCTGGCAGGACTGGGTTTGTATAGAGACATGTGGACAGAGATTGGCCTTTGCGAAGTCTTTTATTATAATTAGTTTGAACTGAATAAGTTATATTTACTACTAAAATATACTCAAGTATACAAAATAAATGTAAACCTACTTAATTTCTTATGCAGAAGTGAATTATATTGAGCTTCTTCAGCTTTTGCCTTAAATGCTTCTGCAGTAATGTTGTATTCCTCTGAAACATTTTAATTTCACAATTATAAGTTCATATAAACAGTATGAATGTTTAAAATAATTATTCTTTACCTGCAACTTCAGTTTCTGATTCTGATGCCTCACCAGAAACAATAGTATTTGAAATTCCTACAGATTTACTTAGTGTTTCTGGTTCCTAAAAATATATAAAATAGATATACATTGAGAAATCACTAAAATGCAATAATATGTGTAATGTAAACACAATAATATTAGTATTATATTACTTTTTGGTCATCTTCATCTGACTCTGAAGCTTCTCCTAAAACAACATAAGAACTTTTACCCAGCATTATCATATAAACAATGAATGACAGATAGGTTACACTGCTCCTGCAACCTCTCCAAATCCTTATCACTATCAGAAATATGGAGTAAGTTCCAAAACTCAGCACTAAGCACATCGGTGATATCGTTCAGTTCGTACTAATCGACCATACCAAGGTCTGTAAAACTACTAACTAGGTATTATTATTATTTTTAGTTGAGTGTTTCAACTGCCTTCCGCAATGTTACATCCTACGCCCTGAAGACGACCTGCAAAGTGGGTTGAAACGTCGGCAAAAATTAAATAATTATTATCTTTATTATCTATTTAATTTAGTATTTATTTGACCGCAACCCCCGATTAACTAACTAGGTAGTTTTATTGACATTGGACCATACAGTTCATCAGCACATTGATGTTTCTACATTCATAGATTAAATTACTGATGGCTGAGCGGTAAAATCCGCTTTCAGTGTTGATGGATCCACTGGATATAACCTCAGTGTTTTTTTTTTTCAATTTATATTTATTTTACTTGCTCTATGTCTCTTTATTTGAAGACTCGACGTCAATAAGGGGCCATGTGCCAAAATATTGATTTTAAGATATTTAATTTTTTTTTTGTTAAATCCTTAACCAATTTTTTTTTATAATTGGTAAATGGTTGACTGTCGTGGATAATGAAGAGAAGAATAGTTGGGGTGGTCAGTCAAAAATAAATGATAATATTTATTATATATTATAGTAAAAATAAATATTATCATTTATTTTCGCCTTCTTTTTTGACTGACCACCCCAACTATTCTTCTCTTCAATTTTTTTTTATTTATTACTTTGGGTATGATTTATATTACTTTTGTAGTTTATGGTTCCAATAGTAGTAGGACGATTGAGATGTTTGATACGTTCCAAAATACAGTACCTCCAGTAGCCACAGGTGCATTTCGATCAAGCCCCATAGCGAATTTTCAAGTGGAAGCTAGTATAATACAACTGACAATACAAAGGGAAATTTTATACTTGACAACATAAAAATAATTTCTGGAGTCACCCACCCTTTAAAAAACACAATATGTTTACCAGCTATTGCTTGATGTGCTACTATTGGTGGTGTGAACCCAAACCCACAAACTAAGTTATCTTTATCAGAAAGGTGCTCAATGCACATCACAAACTTTAATCTCAAGAATGTTTTTACAGTTTCGGAAATACGACCATTGCAATTAGAACACTAGTTGTTACCAAAAACCAAAATATATAAAGTCAAATGTAACAAGGCCCTTGGTTCAAAGTTAAGATTAGCAGAGTTCACGAACTTCAAACTGAAACATTCCGATTGCAAACACGTTTATACAGATGGATCAAAAACTCAAGATAGAGTCGGTGCAACCACTGTTTCTGACACTGTACAAATGTACTCACTACTCCCCCAATGTACCTCTTATTATGTAGAACTGTTTGCAATAAATTGAGCTATTCGGAATCTCAATTATCATAACCATCAAAAATATGTCTGTACAGACTCAGAATCTGCCCTTAAGGCTATGAAAATTTTCTTTTCAATTACGTCATTAGTCCTAGACACAAAGAGATATAAAATCATCAGAGTGTTAGATGTGAGGTAAAATTTTTGTGATTACCGGGCCACTCTGGTATCAGAGGTAATGATCTAGCCGATATTGTGGGAAAACCCGCAATCAAGCAAGGAGTTTCACTAGGGAATGCTTTTACAAAGCAAAATGTTGCTTTGGTAAAAAGAAAAGCTCTCAAGAAATGATAGTGTCTCTGGCATCTCTTAAGAAATAATAAGTTGAGTGTGGTCGCATTGTCTTTTGGTTAAGTCTAAATGGCTCCCAGACAGTCCGGACCTGCATCGATAATTAGCTCAGTTCCGTGATTTGGACCAAAGGATTCATTGGTTAAATTCTTTTTAGAAATTGCCTTGAGGTCATCAATAGCTGATTGTTCTTTCTTTCCCCACGACCAATGTACTTTGTTTTTAAGCGAGACACCTGGAGGTGCAGATATAGAAAAAAGATTTGGGACAAACCTCCCCACTATTCCCAAAAACCTGTGGCCCTCCTCCTTGCTGGAGGGAGGGTCAAACTCAGGTCCGCTCAAAGTCCGTTGGCTGAAAACTCAAAGACAAAAATGAAAGTTTTTCTGTAGGAAATTGGTATTTTGTTATAAGTTAAACCTGCACCTGCAAGGATATGGAGCACCTCCTCCAATGCCCTGTCATGCTCCTGATAGGATCTTCCAAAAACCAAAATGTCATCACTAACGTTCACAACATTCTTGACAGGTGCAATGGGTTGACGAATGGAATCTTGGAAAACGTCTGTTGCCGATGTGATATCGAAAAATAAGCGCTTGTTGCGCTATAAACAAATGTAAGTGTAAAATTTGGTCATCCCTCGTGCCGACTAAGCTCAAGTTGGTGCAACCCATCGCGGAGATCCAACTTTGAGAAAAAGACTGCACCGTTAACCGCAGTGATCGGATCATAAATGGTTGGCAATTAGTGGATCTCCCTGAAAATAGCCTTGTTAGCTACTCTCATAGTGAAACATAAACGCAGTTGATCTGGCTTACGAGGTTTAGGATCAAGAACCACCGAAGAGGCCCAGGGAGTGGGACCGCTAGCACGCTATATTATGTTTGTCGCTTCTAGGCGCTTGTGGTCGAGCCTCTTCATTGTTTCTCAATATTTGATACGTATTCTGTGTTGATGTAGGTACTGCAGAGGCTGTTCTCTTTAGTTTCCGTGGGTATCTCTCCACATCAGAATGACGCTGGTCCTAATAAATTAGTGAAAATTTATTAGGAAACGACCTATTTATATATAGAATTAAAAAAAGGGAATTAGTTTTAGCGGAGCATTAAAAAATGACCAAGACATCCACTGATGCAGACAAAGTTATTGAACAAAAAGTGAACAAAAAGGTATCTAAGAAACTGTGAAACATATTATTTGCGACATTAATGATGAAGATATAACGGAGGACTCATCAAGGACTTGAAAATGACCCTTAGTATGGTCGAAATGTCGAATTAAATAACGTATCAATAAAATGTTTAGTGATAATAGGCCTAATTTATATAAATATAAGTGTACCTATTGACCTTCGGGAGATGACGGCGTCATGGGGTTTCCAGGAGAAGTTTTCGTCAATAGTGATTCCTAGGTATTTAATAGAGGAACTGAAAGTGAGAGGATGATCGTTGATGACTAAGGGAGGAAGGGTGGAGGTGGATTTAAGGAGAGAGCTGGAACCAATAACAATGGCTTCCATCGTGTTTAGCTTTAAATTATTCATAATTGCCCAGGCACTGATCCTATCTAGGTCTGCCTGAATATTGGCAAATTCGACAAATAGCTCAGAAGGGTGAAAGGATATATAGATTTGGGAGTCATCGGCGTATAAATGGTGTGCACAGTGGTAGATGGATTTGGGAAGATCATTTATATAGGAATTATATAGGAGAGGGGAAATGCTCGAACCTTGGGTCACTCCAGAGAATAGAGTTAGGAAGAAAGACAGGTGTTGGTTCGGAATGCTAAATGCTTGAATTCGGTCGGAAAAGAAAGACTGAAACCAAAGAATAGAGCCGTTGGAGAAGGATAGAAATTTTAATTTAGTATAGAGAAAAGAGTGGTCAAAGGAGTCGAAAGCTTTGGGAAAGTCGAGAAGTAGTAACACAGTTAGCTTTTTTTTCGTCCATCCCAGTATGTACGCCATTGCGCTAATTTTTAGCAGAACGGATCGTGTGGGGAAGCCAGGACGAAAACCAGATTGGAGAGGGTCGAGTAGTTTTGAGTCTTCCAGGAATTTGGGATTGAGCTATTCTTTCTAGAGGTTTGGAAAGGTTATGGATAAGGAGAGTATGAATATTTTGCGGTAGTATTTAGAAGAAGCAGGATTGGGAATTTTGTTAATACGTCTGACAAATGGTTTTTCCAAGCCGTAGGAAAAACTAAGTTCTGGAGAGAAAAATAATAGATGAAAAGAAGGACAGGAAGGTTTCCGAGAAGGCATAATTTTAACAGTTTGACGGGTATTCCATCAAGTCTGATGGAGTTGGTATGGGTGTTCATTATTGAGGAAATATGGTCAGTTGGTGAAATGTAGGAGAAATAGAAATTATCACTGTTGAATAAGAATGATAAGGAGAATCGGTAGGAGGAGGGTGAGCTGCTTCTGGTGGAGGAAGGTATTCAATTCAAGGGAATTTAATTCATCAGGTGAACCCAGGTAGACCGATGAGGAAGAGGATTTATAACGAGAATGTTTACGGAGAGTTATTCATATTGATTTAGAATCAGAAGCAGAAGAAAGGGTTTCGAAAAATAAATGTGATTTCGCTTTTCTGATCCGTTGTCTGTGTCAAGTTACGGAGTACCCAGAGGCTATATAATCACCGGCCAGTCGAGTTCGTCTGAAGCGCCTACGGGCTACCTCACGTCTCTTTTGCATGTCACGAATTTCTTGACTCATCCAAGGAGCAGGTTGGCGATGAAAGGTAGAGGTTTTAATCTGGGGCATGAATGTCTACCATAGGATAAATTGAGGCGCAGGAGTAGATATCGTTTCAATTTAGGGTTTCAAGATCAGGTAGGATTTTTTCACGGTTGAGGGTGTAAAATTATGGTTTTAGGAAAAAATGTGGGAGTTTGTATATTATATGATAATTGGATGAGATTATGAGAGAATAGGAAAAGAACAGATAATTGAAAACAAGACAGGAGCTTCTGTTCCGAATCAATGATATGAGATATTTACAACACGCGGTTTTAGGCTGTTATGGTCATAGAGACCAACACCTCCACCAGTCCGGGACATCCGGTAACGGCGGATGAAGGTATAATCAGGTAAGGAAACGGAGCAGAAAGGGATATAAGGCTTGAGCCTCGTTTCAGAGACTGCAATAGTGTGGTAAAATTGTGGGTGAAATATAGGAGAAATTCGTCATTGTGTGCCAGAATGGATTGTGAATTTACATGACAAGTAGTTAAGACGCTAGACATAACGGAAAGGAGAAAAATATATATAATATGACGGTTAGAGGCTGGAAGTAAGAGAAATCAATGAGAATAAATTTGTAAAGAAGAAAATAATGGCTGTAAAAGAAGAAAAACAACAGAGTTGTGATAAAAAATATGAGAAATAGAGAAGAAACACATTGATTAAAATAGAGAAATAATAATAGACAGGCCACCCAACGCAGTGCTGCATTATGTAGTAGAAGATATAGATATAGATATAGAAAATATTTTCAGTTGCTTAAATAAACACTCAATTTCTTGTTTAATAATTTCGTATCTGTTTCATTAAGCCCCCAGTTTTGAAGTGGCTTAATTAAGGTTTTTAAAACGTTATTCTCAATGGAAATCAGCATTATTTTTTAAGAAGCTTCTTAACAGAATTAAGTTTCATCAGATTTTTAGTAGAATTAAGTTTCAGAAGTTTTACAGTTCAAATCACTTATTAATTGTTTGATTGGGGTGTTTTCGAAAAACTAGAACATGTAGAATTCAGATCGATTTGTATTCCTATCTATACCAAATTAAACCTTGGTTTAACCTCCTCTGTTGACTGTGAAATCTTTTGAATAATATTTACAGCAATGGTGTAATAAACTTTTAGCGTTTTTATTCCTAAGTGACGCATGGAATAAACAGTTTATGAATAATACCTTATTATAAATTTCATTCTAACTTATTGGAAAGCAAAATGAATTTTCTTAAATTTACTAGACAATCCATTGCTATTTGTAAGGGTAGAACTAACGTAAGATCTTTATGTATCCAAAGTACAATATAGTACATGTCTTACGCAGAAAATATTAGTAATTAATAAAATAAAAAAATACCGTTTTTAGACCTTTTCCACCAATCTGGAAACATCTAGCTCTCTGAGAAAATTTAGTACTCATAAATTTGTGAATACTATTCATAAAGTAGAAAGATTTCCAGGCGGACGGATATCTAATGTCAAGAAAGAAATAGATGGACCTGCTTATTTTTTGTTGGTTTGTTGATTATTCCAGTGAATTTATTTTGTGTTAACTATATACTATATGTAATGCTAATATTTTATCTTTTTTAGATTATACCAATTTCAGCATTTTTTCTGGGGACCTGGCAAGTAAAAAGGAAGAAGTGGAAAGAAGATTTAATTGAGGGATTATTGAACACTACTAAAATACCTCCAGTATCTCTTCCAACTGAGTAAGCAAATATTGAAAATAATCTTTCATACTTATGAAATTAAACTGCAATGCTTAATTATCGTTGTTTTCCATTTTTCTTTTATTGTGATTTTAATTGCAGATTAAGCGAGATTGCAGAAATGGAGTTTAGAAGGGTAACAGTTACAGGAGAGTTCGATCATAGTGGCGAAATGTATCTTGGACCCAGATCATTATTAGTTGATGGAGAATCTACTTACAGTGGTAAACTTGTCTCATCTGCTGGCAATGGGTCTTCTGGTTATTATGTCATCACTCCATTTATTAGATCAGACACAAAGTAATTTGATTAAAAAGTTATATTTTAAAACAACTGGTTAATTATTTGTAGACAATTTTTATTTGTTTTCTAAAAGGATCACACCACATGACCTGCAATAAGTTTAGAATCACAGGCTTTAGACTGTTAAATTTCTATGATCAGTAAGTAAAGATTATGCCCATAGATTAGGACAATTTTTAAATGAAATAAATGTATAAGCCTGTTATGCTCATTTATGTTTTATAAACTCACGGCTTAGTTAATTTTAAACTATTAAATTATTTAATGTTTAAGTTTAATATAATTATTAAGTTACATACAAAATATACTTTGTTTCAGACTCAATTTTAATTAATTTTGTAGTAATAATTTAAGTAATATATTTGCAAAATAGGACCCGTTGGGAGTTTGTTTATCCAATTTTAACAAGCGCTGTCTGGAGAAGTTGAAAGCAGTGATGCAGTTAAAGCTAATTAATGACTCAATTTAAACCATAAAGGACCAGAAGTTTGCCAAATTCGTGTATCGTGATCTAAGTAATGAAAGGTTATATTCTCTGCTGTTCTTAGAATCTCAATTTATATTATATTATAATTTATTTTTTATTTATTTATATTATAGAATCTCAATAAGAACGCGGAATCTTGAACCACTTCACAAAGTGGAGTTACATTTGTGCATCAACTTTATTTATTAGTGTGCGAGAAAAAAAAATTATTGAATAGATGAGTCACCACTGAAATTAATAATAAATTGGTAGCTTTTATTATTGCTTAGCCTTCCAGTTTGTCTGATATGTTCTAATGGCTGCTCCATAGTTTTATGAATAGTGGTTACAAATGTAAAGTTTTACAATTTTATATAATCACAATGTGTTCAACTAAGTGAGTTTAAAGTGTACTCATTATACATTATCTTAATCAAATTTCAGAAGATAGTCAAATCTGGACTGTTTTCCAATCACCTATCTATAACCCTCATTAATGAAATAAACAACATGTTCTAGTTCACTATGACTTGAATCAAATTTTAGCTCAAGGAAATTAAAAAAATTCAATTTTCTGTTAACCCCATTGCATTTTCCGTAATCCATCTAATTATCCACATAAAAAAAAAACTAAGGGATGTGCTTTAGACCACGCTATAGAAATTAAAACATCAACATCCATATCTTCAATTAAACTCATTATTTGGTTTTGGTCACTATTTTTCTCCTTTTCGCCTCTCTAACACGGTTTCGGCTCTCTAACACGGAACAGTAGCTCATTACAAAGAGGGTGACCATTTCCCTTGCTAAGAATATGCTGGTCTGATTTTTTAGTTTTTGAAATATTTTAATCCATATGCAATAACACTTCAATTAGTCAACTTAACCCGAGTGTTACTCATTGGATATCTGACAGCTCAATCTAATTCACTGTCCACACAAAGGTGTAATACCCGCCTAAAGAAGTTTTCACTTCTTTAAAAGTCTTATTCTGCTGTGCTTTTGCTGCTTCTACTTTATTTTTTCATTTTATCTTGGCTTCATTAGTGCAATGATCAATATTTTGCCGTTTTGGTGGCATATCCCCTGATGGCTAACAACAATGTAACAATTACTTAGTGCGAGTACTCACAAAGTTCTCTAAACATGTTAGAAAATATGTTTTACTATCTTTCTACTGATTTAATTGAAGATTTCAAAAGCTTGAAACCATCTAGAGACATTACAGATAATTTTGTAAAACACATGTAAATTGTTCCAATAGTTTACTTGATTAGTGGTTACAAATAAAATATGGGCTGTCTTTTTATATAATTGTATAGATCTTTCTGAAATTATGGATCACGTTTCTAATTATTATCTGTTATTTTTGGTTAAGTTGCTATTATTAATTCTTCTTGCTAGGTATTTTGAAATTGTGTGATACCTATTCTTCTGTTTTAGATTTTATTTTTACCAACTACTATATTTTTCTAATTTATTTTTCCCAACTAACCATATTTTAATTTTTAAAACTAAGAAATAAGATATAATCCTTATGAATTCTCTTTTGACAAAATATTTGTAGTAATTATGCTAGAATATGTTAATTATATAATTGTATCTACACTATGGAGAAAGATTTCTGTTAGCCGAAAATACAACTAAAGTTGATTCATTAATAAATATCTGACTAGATGGAATTTTACATTTTTAAAGTGATATCTTTTGTTCATCAGGTCTGGAAATAATGTGATTAATGTCATTTAGGGAAAAAATACTTGTCAATAGAGGATGGGTCTCTTTTCGGCAAAAGAACCCTAAAACGCGAGAAGAAGGCCAAATCCAAGGGGAAGTTGAAATAACTGGAGTGATAAGACATTCAGAAGAAGCACCAAGATTCGGCCCTGTCAAAAAGGAAGATGTTCGGATATGGTTTGCTAGGTACAAATTTATATTAAAATGTTATATAATTAATATAATAATACATTTAATTCATCCCTAACTTTTTTCTTTTTTTTTAATTAGGAATGTTGAGCAAATGGCTGAAATGGTTGGTGGAGTACCCATATTTATTGACGCTTCAGTTGATACAACAGTTTCGGGTGGGCCTATAGGTGGTCAGACTAGAGCGAGTCTTCGTAATGAACATTTGTCTTATATACTCACCTGGTCAGTTCATATTATTTTTTCTTGTTTACTAGCCTTATTTAAATTATATTACTGCACAATTTTTTTCCCTCTTGTGTTTAGTCTTATGTTATTATTCTAACCTAGTCATTAGTATACGCTATTTAAAATAAGATTTTAGTAAATACACATGCGTTGTTAATATTATAGTTGTTTATGTATATTTTTAAGTTGAATAGATTAGGAAAATACTATAATTAAGTAGAGGAGAAGATAGGAAAAAAGTTTTGCTAGTTATTGATGAAATCCTGTGGTGTATTTGTTATGAAAAAAATACAATTTAATTTTTTTTTTTTTTAAAGACAAAAGTGAGCTTAATAACATGATTTTGCATGGCTTTCAATAAAACAATGGTCAGGTTTTTTTTTTATTTTTCAAAAATTCTTGCTACAATGCACATTTCACTGTAGATTTAATTATACCCAATCTTATCAAGATCTTTGTTCTGCGGTAACCTTTTCAAGGTGCTCAGCTGGAATTATCCAGTATAGAGTCAAATAGCATTTTATAATTTTGTTAGTAATAGTTACAACATTTTTATTGAGCTGTGTCTTCTTCATCTAAAATCTGATGCCCCTCTTACAGAATGTCTAACAGTCTAGAATTTCAGGAATATTTCAGAGCTTTGTGGTTGGAAAAATTTAGGGATAAGTCAGAAATTCACAGCAAACACTGCTAAAGCCATGAAAGTTATCACGAGTTCCTAACTTAAATATCTTCTTTCAATTTCACCTGAGGAATAGCTAATTTTGGCAGTTAAAAGAATGGGAGAGACTTATTGTTACTAGGATTAGCTGAACAAAAACAAAAAGCTTCTGATATACAGCTTAGTATTATCAGTGAAGCAGTGAGCCGGTAATTCTTTTTTCATAGTAAGGTTTTATTTTTTATTACTGATTGATTGATTTTGGTCTAATAGTTTTGATAACAAACTTTTGACATCCACCAAGGAAAAAAATTACTCCCCTCTCCAAACTCAAAATTTCAGTTTTTTCCATTTGAAGATACATAGAATCCAAAGTTCAATTAAACAAATATGTGTCCTTGCCATTCCTCTTTTTTTCAAGTTAAAAGTCACCTCAATTTTGGAAACTCAGCATTATGATTTCCCATTTTATTCCAATTCAAGATGGCAGCTGATTAGAGATTTCATGTGCAGATGCCCAGAAATTTATTTTAAGATTGCTGTCTTGTTTTTTCGTTTATTTGTTGCTTTGGTCTTAGGTCATTTGGGGCTTGACATTACCATCCACTATTTTGTTACAAGATGGTAGCTAATTAGATATATTATTGCCTGCTCCTTAGCCATTTATAAAGATATAGAAAAATATAAAGGGTTTTTGGAATAATTATACAAAACTCTAGAAAATCAAGTCCATTTATTTTTTTAGTTTAGTTTATTATTATATGCAAGTAACAATATTACTAGTTGGCAATTTAATGAAAAAAAAACAACTACAAAATGGATTTATTAATTCTATCATGTTTATTCTTGGTCAACTTATCTAAGACAGGTACAGCTAAAAAAATAATAAAGAAAATAAATCTTATCCATCCTATATATTATTTCTAAAAGGTGTTTTTTTGTCGGTATGCCTTAATTTCGTCAATTCTTCATCAAATCCAATGATTTACCACTCATTTTGAAGATATTCATCTCCTTCCCATGCGAACAATAGTTCTATTCCCCGAAATTTCTGGAAAAAAATTATGAAGGAAAAGAAACTTTATTTGTGAATAACTCAAAAATTATGCATTTTTTTCTGGATGGTACCCATGATAATTAGAAAGATTACTAAATTATCTACAAAACAAAAAAAAAATCGGACAATTATTAACAAAGATACAGTCCATTAGTTTTTTTATGCTTAATAATATCTTACTGTTTAAAGATATTGCATTTAGGATAAGAATTCTTAGTCGCATTTTAGTTTATATCCAGATTTTCATCAAATCTTCATCACATAGGTCACACTGTATAATTTGTAGCTTGATTATCAATATGGTATATCATGAAAACATTTTATTTTTATTTTAAAGTTTCAAGTTAATAAAGATTTGTTACTATGTTCACATATTTAAAAAAAAATATTTTGAATTAAAAATTTTCAGCTCTCCTAGAATGGGTTTTATGTTTAAACTTTTAAGGCTAAAATGTTGATGTTTAATTTTTTTTAATATATAAATATAATGTATTGGTATTATTGGGAAAACTAGTTCCCCAAGTGGGCCCCTTGGTCCTTTTTTTTTGCCAACTCTTGGTGGCTACTTGGTGTTGCCACGACGTATTTACCAGAGTCTAAATGTCAAGATTCATTTCCCACTGTCACCAAGAAAATTAATCAAACCTACAACATTTAGAACTGAGTACTCTTGAATCTACGCCCCAACTTGCTCGGGCATCCGATCCTCGAATATAATGTGATTGCTTCCTCACTACCGAAGGTAGAGAAGCTTTGTATTCGTTCGGGAGATTAAAAAAAAAATGTGCCCAGAATCGAAAATTTCCACCCGCTTTTTACGTTTTATACATCAAGGATCAAATTTGGTTCGGTGTCTGTCTGTTGGTCTGTCTAGTCAAATCGATGTGACCGGTGTATAACCTACTACCATTTATTCAATTTTCATGAAATTTTCAGTGATTGTGCGGGTTGGTGCGTAGATGGTCTGATATCAATTTCAATTAATTCCACATTATTCTTCTGGTATTGGTAAAATAATGATGCTAAATAATAGTCTACTACACTTTTTTTCCTGGCTGATATATTAACTTTCTTAAAGACATTTGGTTGTTCTTACATTTTATTTTTTTTAATAATTTTGTAATCTTTTAATAATTTAGAAAATCCCATGATCGGGTCATTATTTTGTCTTTATTACTTTTATTATCTTTCCAGTCAGCGTTTAAAAATAGGTCCTGGCAAAGTAATTTGTACAAATATTTTTGTCTATTATGTTTAATGGAATATTGTAATCTACTAAGGAAAAAATATTAATTCCTTCCTTACATAATACATAGGAACTAGTTATTTCCATATTGTTTTGCTATTTCTCCACTAAACAAAATTTTCTGAGAATTATTCGGGCCAAATAGTATTTCCTATTCTTGGTTCTTGTAATAAATTATGCTTTTCTCAAATAAAAGGTCATTTGATCACCAATTTCTTTATTTACTTTAAACAATGATAAATTAAAAAAAAAAAATGTGGAAAGGAAAGTGTTTTAATTTGGCATACCCTGATATTTGTTATACATACTGATAACAAATAATAAAAAAAAAAAAAAATTTAAATTGATTGAGTTTTTCATATTGAGTTATTTGTGTATCTTGTAACCTGTCAAACTGAATCGTCAGCATACAATTAATAATTCACTTTTACTTTCTGGTTTATCTTACTGTTCTAGTATTTATAACAACTATATATTGTTTGTTAATGCTATCTCTTTTATTCCCAGGTAGTTAGTATATATTTTCTTTAGACCAATGATTTTTCTTTTACATTTTATCATTTTTCAGGTATAGCTTAAGTGCTGCTACTGGACTCATGTGGTATATGAAATACATAAGAAAAGTTTAGTTAATATTTAGCTGTATTGTTAAAATCTTAAGTTATTCATACATGCAATAATTGTACATAAATAAGAATCGAAAATTTGAATTATTGTATATTTATATAATAAATAAAAGGCTTATCGAACCCAAAGTTTCAATTTGATACTACCAATCTCTATCTACATACTTTCATCCACCATGCTCTGTTCAAACCTAATCTTCCAAAATCAGCCTTAACACAATCTTCCCTACAATCTATGACTCAGATACTAGCCAGTCCGCACAGTGCTTATTAATCTTTTAGTGATTCATTCACTACTAAACTCAACCATTTTATGTGTCTATTATATTTTCTGTAAATCTTTTTATTATTATTGTTTTTATCTGTAACACTATAATACATGGAAGATCGTGGGTTCAGTACTTATAAGGAAATACTGCTTCTTGGTAGATCCACAGCTGATGTAGCAGACCCAAACTACAGCCCTCAGGCCGGATCCAATAATTTTTTTTTTAATTTTAAGAAATATGAAATTATGTAAATCACTTAAACACGAGCTTACTATAACATTTATTGAATGAGTTATTTTTCTTAGAAAGCTCATTTCACTACTGAACTGTTATTTATAGAACAAGCTTTAATTTTTTTCATCTGAAGCCATGGCTCGTAGGCTAGAAAGTTTGGAAACCATAGGCACAGAAGTCTCATTCATCCAAGTCTCCTCCCAAAAGTCTTTATAGGATTATTTGAATATAAACTTCGATTTAAATAATAGGAATATAGGGTGTGGTAAAATACTTGAGTACTTACTTCTAGACCTTTGTATTTAGCATTAATGTTTCTCATGTTCTTTTAATGTTTTTCCAAAAGTAAAATATTGTATCACTTATTATTTTATTGTATATTTCTTATGACTGGACTTACTCTGTAGCTAACAATGGGTAAAGAAGGCACTGGACTCATGATCCTAGTTTTAAGCTGACTGCCAAAAAAATTATTTTCGGTTCTTTCAGCTATTGATAAATTCTAGAATGTAAAGTAGATAAGTGATCCTAAAGGGGTTGACAAAAAATCGGGTAATTAAACATAATTCTGACATGATCAGCTCCTTATCATTATCCTGGAGTGGTGCATTTATGTTGTATGGATTATTAAGAAGAGTGCCTGATCCATGCAATTGCTCATTGCCCTTTTAATTTGTTCAAGGAAATCACAAGTTTTTGGGTTGGCATAAAGTTTAAGTTGAACATTTTAAAAAAAAATAGTCACTATTGTTTTTCTTTGACTTGGTACAAGTTTGACACTTTTAATTTTTGATTAGGTAAGTTTTTACCTCCACCTTAGACCAAAACAATGTTTTTAAAACATGATTTAAAAAAAAAAAACGTTGTTTTTTCAAAAAGTTAACACTAATTGGTCATTTTATACTTTTTAGTTTTCTCTATAACAAAATAGAAATAAATTGACTGAGATTAAAGTCAAGCATATGCCTAAAACACTATGAGTGAAACTTCCTGTCTTAATGTTAGCTGTCTAAGAATTGAACACACCAACTAGGACAAATTTTGTTTGCCAACTTCAGTGATTCTTATAATGTTTTGTTGTTACTGAATACTGTGCATTATTTTTCTTTATTGATATAATGATATATTTAATTTAAGGGATTATTGACCTGTCAAAGGTATTAGCGGATTTATTGGTTTTCTTACATTTGAGTTTTAGTTGGAAGTTACTTTAATAACACCTTCCATATTTTAAAGGTATAAAAATAATGTCACTTAACAAATACTTTAGAGAGGTGAGGTAGGGTATATTATTAGTTTGGGATTAAGTGATTTTGTTTAAAAAGTTTATTTAAAGACAAATTTACATGTTACTATTTGTATGGCAATATATATATAAAATATATATATAATTTATATATATATATTTATAAGTTACATATTTATAATTAACAAAAATATACTTTGCACTGCCATTATTGCAAATCTTATTTAAAACTACAATATAAATATACATTGGTGTACTACAGATCCTTTCTTAGGAAGGAACTAAAAATAATAATTAAAAAAAAATGGCATAGCACCTTCATAGGAGAATGTAAATCATAGAGGTCTAAAACCTAAAACACTATTTACATTGCTATAAGTGTAATTAATTACATATAAACAAAAATATGGTTACCATTTGGTACCTGTTCTAAAAAAAAAAAGTGTAGACACACTTTTTAAGACTGATTGCTCTAAGTTCAATAAATAATACATTAAATGAATATAATGGAATGCTTCTTGTGAAATGAAAGACCTTTCAATATGAGTTTATATAATTTAGTTCCTAAAAATACATCTTAACAAAGATTAAAGGCACCGAATGGCTCTAACCGACCTACAATAACTATTTGATCACATATGATGATAATCTCATACTTGCATTGAAACAACAACAAAATGCATGTAAAACAAACATTTATTTCACTTATGTGAATAACCACAACACAACAGTTCATCTTATTTTCAATATAGAGTTTTGCAAGTATGGAAGATATATCAAGGTAGTCTGTGGCATATACACACATTAACAAATCTCTCAAGTTATTTAAGTTTATAATTCCCCCATGATTTCTTTTTCAACATACATAGTGTACATTTGGATTGAAAAAAGAAAGAAGAAGATATTTTATCAATCACAAAACACTGAAGAAACCATGAAGGGATCACAGTAACACTTAAATAAGTTCTGTTGTAATAATCAACTTAATAATGGAAATGTAATTACTATATAATATGAAATAAATTACTTTGGTACACTTCGTTCATAACAGAAACACACACTAAGCGACACTATATCGATTTCCTTTGGCTCCACCTTCCTATTTTACTTCAACAGATCTTTTGTGTTTCTTTTTTTTTCTTCTGTACTTCATTCCTTGTCTTTCACTGGGCTAGGTTGGCCACATTGTTTGGTTCTAGTTGTAGAATATATGTGTATACAGATTTATATTATTGATAAATAAATATACACATATAATAAAAGACTTAAAAAAGAAGTATAACAGAAGATTTATTAAAAAAAAAAAAAAAGTGAATACTGATTCTGAGAATATTAAAAAAAATTCTTTGTAAACATTCACTCACACCCTTTCACACACTCTTGAGTATTTATTCAGGCATGACAAGCATCAGAGGCCTATTTAGTCTATTGCAATTTATAGGTGGGTCACAATCATTTCGTCATCAATATCATCTTTTTCATCGTCAGTTTCTTCAACTGGAGGTGGGCCTCTAGGCTGTGCAGATTGCTGTTGCTTCTTGGCTTCCTCTTCAGCTTTCTTCATCCTGAGCTTCTTCCTCTTGTGTAGGATTTCAACAACACAGTAGCCTGCTACTCCAATGATAAGAACTGAGAGCATAACATATAACTTCATCCTCGCACAAAGGTGAGTACTGTAGGCATAAGCAATAACAAATCCTGCTGATTCCCAAAGCCTATAGTTACTGAACGCAGCTTCCTTATTCCGCCTGAACAATGTACCATATAATCCTGAAACAAAAAATGAATAACTCAATATATTTAATGATGTAAAATAATATTGATTTAGAATATCATCGACCAATGTATAGACAAACTCACAGATGTAATTGCAGATTTTAGAATAAAAAGTTATTTAAGGTTTGACCATAACCTATAATAAGTTATTTTCTATTTTTTTTAGATTTAGTTATTTGTGTGGGCTAAGGCGCTTGCAATACGTAATCAAAGTCAAGCAACGCCCGAGCGTGGTTAGCACTTGGATGGGTGATTGCCCGAACTGGGTGACCGTCTACCAGGGAAAGGCCACGCTGCCTAAAATTCCTCCCCCTCCCTGGGCATGCCAGCCCTGTCAGGCTACTGGAGGCAATTCACACCGACCGAGCGTAGGACTGATGACCCTACCTCGTGTACTTAAATCGGGAATCGGGATGTGGTTTAGGAGACTACATCTCGTGGTTAAAGATCTTCATGGTCTATAGTGTCAACCGAAAAGAAAAAATATAAATATATATATTTAATATTCAGTTTAAACTTTTCTGCGGACCTAGATTAGACTGTTTTCTACTCTAAGTTAAAGTGCTCACATCTATGAGGTTGACCATCAATATATAAGTTTTATTGGTAATAACAATTGAATGATGAAATTTATTCAATGCATGCAATAGGCTTGTGTTAAATCCTTTGATTCACCAAGAGAACTAATTAATTATAAACGCTTTTATAACACATTTTAAGAAGAGAAACTTGCTTTAAATCATTATATAAAAAATATTTTAAGTGAAGAGAGTATATGACATTCGAAAACAGCAATGTAGATTTGCTTACATTTACCATGTACCAAGAAATCTAGAACCCAAAATCAAGCCAGCCCTTTTTCCTTATTTGGAAAATGTTTCAAAAATCATTTGGTAGCACAGTGAGTCAGCTGAGCCAGAATCAATGTTGAACATTGAAAAGCCTTGTGTTAGCCTGAAATGATGTAACTAAAAGCTATTGGATTGCTTTTGCTTTACAGAAAAAAAAATCTACTGAAAACGAGAATAATGTTTGTAATAAATATGAAATGAGATTTATTTTACTTACCATTAACTTGTGTCTGCCAAACAGCATCACCAACTCCCCACATCCCAGACATGCCAAAGAAAATAAGTCTGTTATCAGGATGAGGCCTCCAGTGGAGCAAAATGATCACAAGTGCAGCATGGACAACAGCTCCCAAAGCCATAATGGGGAATCTTCCAATGTACTTCATCAGTGTACCAAATATCAAAGAGCATATCGCATTAACGACTCCAAAACATATCATCACATACCCCACACTTGGAATACCAAGAGCACATGATACATATGCCTGTGAACAATAAAAAGATAATTTATAATTGATACATTATATTGTATATTGTATATTTATATTAAAGCAAAATAGAATGCATTTTATGAATATTTGGTTAAATATATCTAATGGACTGTACAATCTAGTTAAATTGAAAATTGATTTAATAAAAATGCTATTAGATTCATTATGTGATGAGTACCTGTAATGATTTTGGGGCATTTGAAATAGATTCGATACCGGTAAATTAATGGGAATGTTATTGAAGGTGGGATATGCTGAATATCCTGAGGTAGTGGATATCCACAGAGTTGATGAATGGCCTTGCACAACGTCCAAAGCCTTGGTCTGACTTCCCTTTCTGGCCGCCGGAAATGAAGACTAGATACAGATTTATGATAAAGTTTTACAAGTTAAATATTTGGATTGTTCCCTGTCGGCGCCTTCCTGTTCTCTTCCCAAAAGTTGAATATCGTTATTTGACATTCAACCGCGATTAAACACAGGAGTGGAAGTGTAACAGATATTCTGATGAACATTGATATTTTTAATATAAGATAATTAAAAGTAGGATACACAGTATAATACAATGAATGAAAAACGAAATAATCAGTTGTTAATTTCATTAATAATTCTCTAAAATATAAAAAAATTGTTTTTTATTTTATTTTTAAAAGATTTCATTAATTTTTGTTTGTTTCGTGTTTGGAGAACCACTGATTCTTCTCGGAGACCCAGACTGATTGGTTGCACGTCAAATTTTTCTGTGCTCAACATCGAATACACTGAGGAACGTGACACTCTTCTATTTTTATAAAAGAAAATAAAGTTTATACAGAAAATAACCATTAAAAGCGTTTATGTCCTCTACTTCGATAAGTTGGCTGCAGTCGTAATTTTTATGACTAGTTAAGTTGGCTACAGTGGCTATTATTGAGCCACTGTAAGTTGGCAGCTGGAGGACGAACTCATGCGGCACCAAGTTGAAACTAAAATTGTATTTTTATTCAATACTCAGAAAAACTGGCGGATCTTACGGAGGGGGAGCTTTCGGGCTGAATCTTCTCCTCCCCCCAAATGGAATTTTTTTTTTCATTGATATCTACTTGTTTTTATGAGTAATCTAAGATAAATAAAAAAATAGATTTAAGATCGTGATGGCCGGGCGTGTTAAAGCGTAAAATTTAACATTCTCGAGTATAATGCTACTGGTTCAAATCCGGCCTAGGCGGATTAAAATTTATTTCGTAGCGGAATAGTTCTGTAGCTCTAGAACAACCCCATGTATGCCAGAAATGGGGAGGTAGGGCTACCGATTTAAAAAAAAAAAGTTAAATACTTAATCAATCACAATACACATTTTTCAAAAACTATAATGTATATACAGTTACTTATTAAAAGAATGTGGCAAGAAAAGAAATATAAGAAATTTATCTCTAGAAGCGTTATTTTAACTATAATTAAGGTTTTTTTTTTTTTTTTTTTTTTTTTTTTTTTTTTTTTTTTTTTTTTTTTTTTTTTTTTTTTTTTTTTTTTACTGGCCTTCGAGTACCATTATTTTATATGTTTTTTTACTGTTTCTTTAGAATAATGAACATTATTAAAAAAAAAAAAAGAAAAAAAAGATCCCAAAATTAAACCCTTGATCCACTACTGCTCATAAAAAAATATATATATTGAAAGAGCACATTTTAATCTTGCATAAATTTGTAAAGATTTTGTAAATAATATCGGAAAGTTAAAGTAAAAGCAAAATGTGAATTTCAACTTTGAGCCTAAAGTTGTTCGCCCTCAAATTGCAAACTAATCGTGGTCCTTATTATTGATAAGGATGATCTTATAAATTATTCCTAAAGACATTTCTTTTCCAGAAAAAAATTCTAGACCCTGATTCTTTCCTTAACAAAACCCTCATTTGAAACAATTTTTTTTTTTTTTTTCGTTTTTCCAAATCGGATTATAGAGGTGCTAAATAGTCCACTCTATATGTGAATATTTAGTTGCTAATATTTTTAGTAAATACTTAGTGGCGCTGAGTAGGTCACAACAGAGATCTCTCTCATCGATTCGACTAAAATGTGTAGTAATACGGATAAGGGATGTCAAAATGTGTTCTGATTCTCAGTAGTACCTTAAGGAACTTTACATAACTCGACCCTAGTTAATATTTAATTATTCCTTTCGTAAGTAGAGTGGCGTGTGGGACAGACAAGGAGGATAGAACATTGTCCGCTCATGGATTGGCAGCTCATTATCCCCTCATGGGCTAATAGAACTTTCTACCCTAACAATGGCCTTATGTCTTTGCATCGATTCCGGCTCCTTTGTTTTAGCCTTGTCATAACGGTCAACAACATCGTCTGTGCCTCATCTTAGCTCAACTTTGGTTTTGTCTTTATCGAATCAAAACGATGATCGAATCAAACGATTCAAGATGAGATAAATTATAACTCTAGAAGAAGCAGGTCCAATAGTTTCGGGGAAAATGCGCGTAAGGCGTACGGCGGACGAACAAAAATATTTGTATTCGTTTTAGAATTCTACGTATTCTGAAACGTAATACCTCAAATTTTGAGAGGGAGTCATTTTGTTCGATTATAATGGTTCATTATTGAAAATAATAAACCAACATATACATTAAATAAATATATATATATATATATATATATATATATATATGCATCTATGTAGTTTAATAGATAAGTTAATACCAATAACAAAATTGCTTTAATTACCCAATTGGTTTTACAACGTAGCAGAGGCAGACAAATGACTTATTTTTGCATAAATCTCCATTCCTGAATGGTATTTAAAATAAAGATCCTCTCTTTTCCAATAGGTATACAATGGAAATCAGGGATGTCCAAAAGGAGGTGACATGGCGCAAGATGCGCCAACTAAATTTGTGAGGGGCATTTGTTTACGTACTGTTAAATTTTTGAAGGACGCACATGTTCACGAACGTTTAGATGGAACCATCAGGAACCAAAGTTTCATTGGAGAAACTTTCAAACCAGTGAGCTATGTATAGCACAGACGGATCTACAGGGAGGGGGAGAAAGGGCTTTCGGACTGAATGTAACCACGTTTTATGGTAAAAATATAAAATAATTATCTCTTTAAGTATTATTGTTCGTGTAATTATAGTTAAATAATCGGCAAAGCGCCATTTCATGTAGGTAGTTAGTATCTTTATTTTTTGTTTTTCCAAAATAATTATCGTTATATATGAAAAAAAGAGCTTTCGGGCTCAATCCCCCTGCGAAATTAAATCCTGGATCTACTACTGATGGAAAGACATCAACAAACAACAGCTAGTGTAATAATATATATAGAATACAATTGTTATAATTCAACTTTCGCTTGCACCGTTTTTAAGAAGAGGAGATGAATAACATTTCTTGAGAGAGAGGGAGGCATCATCTACCTTAGGAAGGATGCGCACCCATGATGGAAATAAACATAACATTGTAGCACACACTATCCTAATCAATAATATATCATATTAATCTCATGTTACGTTTGAAAGTTTATCCTAACTTTTCGGCCATGATCGAGTGTCTTCGGTTCCATATTACCATCTCTCACTTCTCCTGCAGTTAATTATCAATTTTTCCATAGTTTATTTTCAACCATTCCTTATTACTGGTTACAATTTGAAGGGGTCAATTATTTCAAATAAACATAATCAAAGGTACTTTAGAGGTAGAAGTTTTTAAAATTGGCATTGCCAAATCAGATTGTTTCATGAAGAATAATACTAGCTTAATATTTAAGACAACTTAATTTTAATTTGGCATAATGAATTTAATGAAAATCGTTTGGATCTTTAGAGAAAATTGTAAAAACTATCACTTACTTGTGTGAAGTCGGCCCCTATGAACGCCTGCTCCATCCCGATCCATAGGGTGATAGGTATTAGAAGTTGCTGGTAGGGTTTCTTGAGATGGTACGCAGTAGCCGAGAGAAGTTGTATACCCGAAAGTTCCGCGCTGTCTGCTCGCCTCTGCTTTTCACCATACCTGCAAACAAAATCTCATATTAGCAACTCGAAATGTTTTTAAATTAAACTTATTATTAATTTGTCCGTTTTTATTATTCGAATTCAATAACTACAGGTCGACAACATTCACATCATTAATTAAATAAGAAATGGAAATAATATGAGGGCCTAACAATGAATTTGAAAACCGAACATATAAAATATATAAACATAAAAACAATATTCTAGGATTGTTATTCATAATTGTGTAATTCAATCAGAACTGGATTAAGACTGCTTGTACTATAGGTCTCCCCCTTCAGTTTATTAATTAGTTTATATTGCGCAACTAATTGAAAATAATCAGTACTTAACTTAAAAAAATGTAAATGCGTTGAGTTAATTTGCAACGTGTTCTGAAATCATATTAAAACACTAGCGAATATTGCTGAGGCAGGTAGCTTGAGGAAACATAAGAATCTACATTATAAGATTATTGAGTGAAATTGTTTGCATTTTAAGAATGAAAAACTAAAAACTTTGTAAAAAAGATTAAAGATACATCAACTTATTTTTTTCGCGAGTCACGAGGCCCGCAGACAGGCCTTAATTGCTTTTGGGTAATCTGATTCAGCATACAATCGACAGAATGAATTAATAACTGATATTAAACAAATATATATATAATTTTAATTTACTATTTAAAAGATGTAAAAGATTTTAGGTAAAAAAAAAAAAAAAAAAATGGACACACATAGTTAAAACCCGATGTGTATTATTTTGTTGTAACAACAATATGAGATAGTTTGCCAACCGGCCAATTAATATTCCCTTGTCGTAACAGGCCATTGTCTTCAGATTTTTTCTCTTATCCACGGCTATTTCAAAACATTTTTCCAGGTCAGACTATTGAAATGCAATTTGGTTTTGGAACACGTCATGAAATTTCCTTAAAAGACTAACATGAAAAAAACCCTTCAATGCGGACAATCCTGATTTGAAATTCTTCCTTAGGACGTCCTTCAATCCTCGGACACCCATGTTCCTCGGACATGGCCCACTGCCAGATGTGTCCCAGTGGGCAATTCGAACTGAAAGTAGCAATATCATAGGTGTAGCATCGATAAATAGGAGAAAGCTTCTCAGCCTCGTCCAGTTGTCGCTTGCAGGGTTCGCTTTGTGGAATTGAACAAACTGTTCTCGAGTGTGACTAAAACAGGCAATGTTGTTTACATGAAATAACCTGAATATGAACGAGCATTCATTAGGTCGTATCCTTCAAGAACTACTATAGTCCATGAAATAACTACCACTTAAAAAAAAAAAATAGTACTCAAGAATCAGTAAGGATCACTAGAGGATCCAAGGGAACAAGGGAGGTGGATGAGGGGAGGAGGCTTTACTACTTAATCCCTTCCTCCAAAAAAAGGAAATTGGTACAGTTTTATTTCAGAGTGATATTAAAATAAATACAATATACTTTAAATTGTGGGCGGGGTGGCCGAATGGGCTAACGCGTGTGCACAGCACCACCGTTGCCAGACAATCTGATATATGACAAATGATATAAAAATAGTCACAAGTTCGCGTCCCGGTGCCAATGCGTCTTTTAAATCCTCCCCCCACACCCCTGGCCTGGGAAAACCCCGTATAGCCTTAACAGCGAGGAAGGGGAGGACCCGAAAAAAAAAATTCTTTAAATTATAACGCGTATAATTCGGTTACTAAATGTAAGCATTTTTCAACGAAAAATCTCTGAACAATTATTGTTTTCGTAATAAACATTATTAATAAAAAAAAGAAAGAAAATAAGAGGAATAGGCCAATCTCCCAAAATTAACTTCTGGATCCGTTTCTGGTAAGAATAATAACAATCCGAATTTTTGGGTGTCAATATTTCAATCCTAATCTGTTATATATTAATAATAATTAATTAATTAAAATAATAATGAAGTTTTCCAAGACGTGTTTGAGTTGACTTATTCAGGAAAATACGATTGATTAAAATAAATTAGTCGAGATACGTTTATATACGTTTGTAAATAAGAACATGAATGTAATTTACTATATCATAATATTATAATAACTATATCATTAATAAACGCATTACTATATTATCGTAACTTACATTCCATAGTAATGAGAATAATGAAAATATCGCCGATTTATTGTAAAAAGTCAGTAAGTTACATTTCATAACCTCAAAAAACAAGGAAGTTTGATAAATTTTCCCTTTGAGAAATCAGAAAATCATGCTATAACTGGTAAAAAAACTAAAAACTAGAGTAACAATATAAGATAAACAAAACTGTTTATAGTATTTACAGGAGCTTACGTTGTTTTTGTGAAAATAAATAAGTTCGAAATTTACAAAAACATACTTGAAAGTTAAAATATATCTAACATGCCCTTAGTTACTTTTCTCAATAAACCGACGATATAATTACTATGAATTTAGAATTGTTTGTGATCAAAGTTAAATTAAGGCAATCTTTAAAAAATGTTATTAGTTATTGAGTAATGTAACAATCTATCACTTCGACAATGGTTATAGGGAAGTCAAGTCATATTCACACTATATGTACAAAAAAAAACAACAAAAAAATAGAACAAACTGAAGCAAAATAAAAACCAAATAATAATCAAAAAGTATATATAATAAAATAACTTTTAACTGCTATAATCACCCTAGTCATATTTCCGAAGTCTATTATTTGACACTCTATTGTAATTTTTTTTTCGTATTTTTGTTTTTTAATGTAATTATTGCTTGCGGTTATCTTCTATTGTTAACATAACCATCTTGTTTTAGACCCTACATATAATCTTGACTGGCTTCGTGAAGGAATGCAAATACCATCCCAGACCACGATAGAAAAAAAAAATGTAAAACAGTTTTATGTTTTTCAGATGATTATTGAACGATGAAAATGTGGAAAATTTACATATTTAATAATATTCTGGGTGATTTAATTAATTAAAATTTCTCTAATTGAAACAGAATTAATTTTATTCCATCTAATTTATAGAAAAAACGCTCTATTTTTTAGTATTTTTTTTTTAGTATTTCAAGCCTTATTTCGAGGATAGATCGATAAATTTAATTTGTTTTTGAACCTTAACCCAATCCCCACACAAAAAAAATCCATTTTCTTTTAAAACTTCTTAATGATAATGTAAATCCCCCGATTCATAATTTTATTTTATTCATTAAAAGCAAGGACGTTGAAAACATTAAGATTGTTAAGTAGGGCAGGAATATTGATGGAGAAACTGCCCCGGGTTTCCAAGGAACTGACGTCAAGACGTCCAACTGAATAATATTAATTGAGTTATATTTCTCCACCTCCTCCTCTAACATTCATAGTTCCTGTATTTTTTAAAATCTAATTTAATGCGATAATTTAAATGGGGTATGTTAAAATATTAACTTTCGTAAGAAGATAAAATATTGTAGCCCAAGATGGGTAGATATGGAAAGGTTGGTAAGGCAGCAAAATATTTATAAAGTCTGTGCCAACAGAAAAAAAAAAGTTAAAAATATTTTATACCGAAATAAAATATAATTTTACAAAAAGCATATCAAACCTTCGGAGATCTTGATGCGTATGCGTTTAGAAAAGGATCTTGCTTGTGAAAGATATAATTTTAGGAGAGTAGATGAAATCAATGAAGGTTGATTTCGTATGGCTTTGAAATAAATTGAATCGTTAATTTTTAGAGAATATATAATTTGAATATTGATAAAGATTTTCTAAGAGTAGGCTTCTAGAACCTAAGTAATTGAAGATCGTGACGGAAAAAATCTCTAGTATTTCTAGAAACAGCCTTGTAAAAAACAAACAAAAAATCAGATTAAATCACATGACACGTAAATAATAAACAACAGAATTTCTTTGGGCGACGGAAACGGTCTCGATGAAAAAATTATAATTTCTCAATAAATATTAGTCATGAAAATAATTTACTCCATATTTAAATTATTTTGAGAATAAAAAACTTGAATTTTGAGTAGTTTTGATTTATTCCACAGGTCAAATATTTGTGTATATGAGCTACTGCTTCGTAACTGCGGATCAAGGATTTAATTTTTATTATTAATATTTTTTTTAATGACGTTAATTATTGGGAAAGAAATAGAAAATTTCAACCTTGTATATGGATTATTACTACATTTTTTTTTATAAAAGTTTAGCAAAATGAAATACTATATACTAGTTACCAAAATATAACAAAAAATAATTAGTTAAAATTCTCGAAGCTTCATATTTATAGAGCAGGCGTAGCCCTCATAGTATAGTATACCTTGATAGTATATTCAATTGCTATAATGTTGTGTTCAAAATAAACATTTCAAATATTTTAAAACCCTAAGCTGGTCAACTTCTATTCTATGGAATTATCTGTATACCTCCAATCTGAGGCCTCCTGAGGGAAATCCTACAATATTCGTCACCTCTCCTCTTGCTATTTACGCTCCTGCATTCAACAAAGGAACGTAACGTGGAGGAAATTTAAATTCCAAACAAAAGACCTGAAACAAGGGATGAGAGTGGATTATACAAAAAGAACTCGTGGACTACGAGGAGATCGGAATCCCAAAATGGAAGCGAACAAGAAGCCAGCGGCTGGAAGGGTTTCAAAATAAAAGGATCTGGCGTGGCCTTGCTGGAATCGTTAAAGCAAAGTCGTTAGGGCATCTCCCGTCGTTAACTGGTTCATTATCGCCCCGGCTATCAGCTTTCCTGCTTAATAACAGCGTTTAGCACCCACTCCTTGGCGGAAAAACCGAGTCTAGGAGCCAATATTTGCCAGGAAACGTCGGGCTTGATTCATGATTTAATTATACCTCAGATCCGCGATCTACGTCCATGACGCACTTCTTTTGTCGGCAAAAGCAGATAGCGTGAACGTAATTCGGACGCCATGAAAACTCGCCATGGGTTCGTTTAAACGAACTGGTATGGAATGCGCATCACACAACTCCCACTTACTACCCTACTTGAATAATTAAGTTTCTGCAGAAATAGGTGAAGTTGTACGTCATAACAGAATGGAACAAACCACTTTACACATATTTTAAAATAAACTTAATTTAAATGGCTTTTCAAATAAATGTTTTACATGCGAATAACCATTAATGGTCAACTGTAGGTAGACACTAAGTAAAAGACATTGGTCAGTGAAGAGCACAATAAATTATTTATTTACTTTGTAGTCGAGTTTCGGAGTTATAGGTAGGATTGCTAGTTCAAAATATTCGGACGAATAATCAATAGAACCCCCAACCAACTTCTGTCATTAAAATGTGTTTTATTAATTGTCAATATTTCATTTTACATAACTAATCTTATTTTATATTTTATTCAATCCAAATTATTGCTACTACATTATGCCAAGAATAGGCCAAAAATTAACTTTAAAGCCTTTCCATTTTTTTTAATATAGAAAAAAAAATCTATTTCCATATTTTTTTAAATTCGATTTTGCATTAAAGATACCAGAAACAGGATATTGATCTATTTTATAGAAAATAGTAAGGCCTTATCCCGTTCAAAACCATCTCTAATTCATTTTTACCTCATCTGTGGACTTGTTCACTTCTCCTAAATACCATCCAGTAAATATTTAATGCTATTAATGTTGCTAGAGTCATTAAAGAAAATTTGTAAAAGGTTGTCACTATATGTTATCCCAAACCGTAAAAACAGCTTGGAATATTTAAGAGGCATGCACTTCTTCAAGTTTTCTCTCACAAAAAGTACGATAAAATAGTTTTAAAGCAATTCCAGAACGATAATTTATATATTATTTATTTTTGGTTTATTTATTTTTGTCAAGATTAAGGAAACGCGTAAAACTCAGATGCTAGGTGAGGAATGGAAGGATAGAATGGAGGAATGAGCAGATAATAGATAGATCGGAAAGTGGATTGCACAAGGAAGAGATTAAATTTTATAAAATTATTTCTTAGAAATTTCTTATTAGTCCTGATTTAATTTCTTGTAATACCATTACTTTTTATTTTACATGTTCAAAAAGGTTAGAAAGGGACTTCAGATACCTGGGCACTCCCATGGACATCTGCTAATTTAAATTCTGCAATATTTCACAGCTGCGGTTCCTTTAGGTTGATTAAGAGTTCGTGTAAGATACAGAACTACAAGACTCTCACCAAGAGTCTTTAGGTGTTAAATTGATGGGAAAGGAATGTGCAACCACGAGGATATTTCACCAACGACAGCTGACCATACGTTCTATTCTTAACAATGCGTAGGGGTATGGGTAGAGATCTTCCTAATTTGCAGTACATCACTTTAAATTTATCGATAGCCGCAGAGGTTATGTTTCATTTATTACGACGATGGTAATCGATGTGTATGAAGTAAAAGGTGGATCACACTGAAATAATTTTTTGGAGGTTCTTCAATAAATAAAAGTTTTCAGATCAGGAAAACTATCAAGAAAACTTCAAGTAGATTAGTAATCAAAGCGCTTTCAAATCTGTGAACTTGAGAATTTTTAATAAATAGTTACTGGAGACATTACAAGATCGTAACATTGCGCACTTTTATTCAGTCAATTAAGCAGGAACACAAGGTGCTGCCACCCGTGTACATGCAATTCTTTCAAAGAACACTTTGTCTTTATCCTACTAACTGGAAATTTTAAGAATAACTTGAAATTATAGAAGGAAAACAGGATTTATATATATATATATATGTATGTATATGTGTGTATGCAGATCGTATCTAGGAGTGTGGTGGGAAAGGGAATACGTACTCCGGGCGACAGAATTAAGGAAGCGACACATGTCGGACAAAATTTGATTTTTAGTTTAATTAATGATATTTTTTTCTCCTTTTTTTAATATATTTTTTTAAAAATAATCTAACAACTGTTATTAAACTGTTGAAATAAATTAGATTACAAGATTGTCTAGATCTAATGTTACAATAAAAAGTATGTGATGTGACCACTCACACGACTTTCCTACCTATTTCAGAAAAGTTTTAATATCTTTACATATGTTCATGAAGAACCAAAAAAAAAATTAAACTAGATTTATTTTCCTGAAAATTGATCAAAGAAAAGATTTGAGTACGATTTATTTGATAAACTAAAGCAATGTGAGCCGGCTTAATGTAGATTAGTGTAAAAATTTCAATACTTTCTAATATTACTGATCAAAAACTTTTTGCCATAGCTTAGTATTGTGAAACAATAATTTCTATTAAAATTAGAGGAAATAGTGATACAGGTAGCTTGTGTGATGCAAGTAACAGATTTTCTTAGTCATCTTTTTTCTCTCATTCACACCTTTCTGACACCAGGATATAAACCCGAAATCTTACATTAGAAATCGGATAGCTGTAACTTCGTTAATAGTTGTCCAAAATGAACGCTTTTTATACAGTTTTATAGGGAATTTTATTATCAACTGCTCTGAAACGTATAGATCGAAAATTTGACCCGATTGCAATAATTTCTTTACCTAGTATAGGTAGGAAAGTAAAAAAAAAAAAGGATTGAGATTATTTAATAAATAGTAACATTAGACCTACCAAGTTTAAAATATTGCCCATTTGCATTCAGTCTTCTACGGTGATTACAGTTATTAAAAAAAAAAATACAAAAAATTAAATCCTGGATACCTTACTGCATAGAATCCTCGTTACGGCTCTGTCTTATTGTACTTGTCTTTGATATTTCGGGCTTGACCTTTGTGGCAAAAGTGCAGACAGACAATATTTGTTTTGTCTTGAGTCCATCAAAGGGTGAATGCGAAAAAAAAGAAAGCTAATGTGAATTGTCGGGGATGGTGAATAGATGAATGCGATCCTAATATGAGATTTCGAACAGATGAAAGATACAAGGGGTCGTTAGCAAAGGTGCCTAACCAAGGGCAGCCTCGCCAGCTGTGCCCCTCTCCGATCTGTCTAACTCATCCCGATACCATACTTTTGTCGCTACAGGATATTCTTAATAAGATTTTGTTTTTTAACTTGATTCTTCAACTCACACTTGTCAGAAGTTCCGACAATCAGCGAGTGTGATGTCAAGATGTAGAGATTGGTCCTGGAATAGGCGTGAGGGAGAGGAGTACCCAGCGGCGTCCTTCCTGTCTTGAGCGTAATATTTATAGTTAGTGGAGGAGATCCCTCACCCAGCTTCTTTTAAGCCTCCTTCGGGTGCTATCGGGCATGTTAGTTGTGGCCATGCATCGAATCAATGAGTTTGTATGTCCGTGTAAGTTATTATGAAATTTTTTGTAGGATGTTCGTACGTGGTCGTTAACTGTTGACATCTGGAAGTCTTTATGAAGAGTTACTGACGTACCAGGGAGCTTTGGTGATAGTCCTGAAAGTTTTAGATTGAAAAGTCTGTAATTTACGTATGTGGGTCTTTTTGGCTGTCCCATATATCTGTGAAGCGTAGGGCCAAATAGGCTTGAGTAGGTAAGTATATGTATTCAATTTTTGTCCAAGTTTTAATTTCGAATTTCTTGCAAGGAGTGAGTACAATAGTCGTAGTCTTAGGTTTAGAGTTTTTGATATGTTGGCCCCATGTCATTCTTCTGTCAAAGGTCAGTCCAAGATATTGAACTTTGTTTGTCTGAGATTCTTAATAAGATAACAATGAAATTAAATTCTTCAGCTTTTGTTCTTTCCGTACAGTAGAGCGTCGATTATCCAGTTCATTTTTTTACAAAATAAGAATCGTTTTGAAACATGTTCCGTCTAGTTTCGTAGTGAGGAAACTATGCATAATTGTTTCTCCTGAAATAAGAATTGTTCAAATCTTTCTGCTCAATTGTCATTACGTACAAATGACATAATTAATATGGTTATTCACTTAAATATAAATGTATTATTGAAGCCCTATGTTATCATTTGTTCCTAGTTACAATCCGTACATATATTATTACAGTAAGGCTCGAAATCGGTTTTGTACCAAATATAAGCTCCTGTCATGCTCAAATACCATGAATGGGGTACCGTTGGATTCAGAATTTCACGGGGGGTTAGCGAATCGTATTCTCCACTTTTGTTTTTCTTTCTAAAATAAATAAAATCGATACAAACATTTTGCTAGGCTTCAATACCTGAACAGTGGTAGGTCTGTAGATCGGTACGGGACAAATTGGATCTAAAAGATTTTGATGCGTACAGCAAGACCCGGATAGTTCCTCCGGAACTATCGGATCCTGAGTTTTTTAGATCAAAAACGTACTATTTGGTTATGCCCGTGATTATATAAAAGATTACTTAATTCCCTATAAAAGGAAAAAAAAATCATCGAAATCGGACAATTTTTAGCAAAGATACAGCTTACTGAAATTTGTAAACATGTTGGTTCCAAAAAAAAAAATGAAGATTTAAATTAATTTTTGTTTTCTTTGTCGATTATATTTATCGATAAAGTAACGTTTGATTTCTTTATCTTTTGATAGGTTGCATTATTTTATTTTCTTATTAATCTGGCATTTGATAACAATATGCTGTGCGAATTTTTCGCACAGGCCTACTAGTTTTATATAATGACATTCAGTTATCTGTACTATCTACCAGGGTTGGCAGCTCTTAATCTAAATAATCAACGCTCTACAGTATAGACTATTAGGAAGGATAATAATGTAACGAATTCGTATTTTTACATATTAATTGAAGTGATAATATTACACCAGTTTCTTCGTTTTATCAGATTTCAGAGCAACGTGTATTTTACAGACGTGTTAGTCCGTTCGGTCACTAGGTCCCATGCACCTTGCGAGTTTTATACTAACTGCTTAATATATATTTGTAAATAAAATAATTTGAATTCATCATCCTTGACGTCGTTTAAAATAAGAATATTTACCTACGCGTTACG